GTTACTCCATCATGTCCTGGTACATGCTCCCAGTAGTCTCCAAAATTGTCTTAGCAGACAGTGTCAGACATGCATGCATGTACACACACACACATACACACACACACACATACAAATGTGTGCCTTTTGCTGTCCCATTCATTTGATGCTGAATTATAAGCACCTATTAGATGCTAGTCACTGAACACATTATAGCTAATCTTTTTTCAGATTTTTATTTTGGGGATAGAGGATCTTGCTCTGCCACCCAGGTTGGAGTGCAATGATGCAATCATAGCTCATTTCAGACTGCAACTTCTAGATTCAAGCAATCCTCCCACCTCAGCCTCCCAGCTAGCTGGGACTACAGAGGTGTGTCATCACACCTGGCTAATTTTTTTTTTTTTTTTTTTTTTTGTAGAGACAGGGTCTTGCTATCTGGTCCAGACTAGTCCTTAACTCCTGATCTCAAGTGATCCTCCCACCTTGGCCTCTCAAAGTGCTGGAACTAGAGGTGTGAGCTACTGAGCCTAGCCTATACTTAATCTTTATAACACACTTATAGAGTAAGTCTAATTTTCCTGAATTATACTTTATAACACATTTATAGAGTAAGTATAATTTTCCGGAATGTCAAGAGACATTCGAGAATTTGTTCAAGGTCCCCTGGCTGGCAGGTGATAAGGCTTGGATATGAATCCAGAGCAGTCGAGGTCCAGAGCCCCTGCTCTTCCCCCAAGGCTACGCAGGCCCTCCATGCTTGCTACCTCCTGGCTTGTGTTATTTCTTGACAGTGTTGTGTGTGATCATGACTCCTTAATTGGACTACTTGCCAATCGGGAACAGGGGTGCATGCTCCTGCATGCTCAATTCTCCCTGAACCTTGAGCTAGTCATGGTTGGTAGGCTTAGAAATAACCCCCCCATCCCCCAAGGTTTGTCTATGTCTCAATCCCTGGAGCATGAAAATGTGAACTTATTTGGGAAAGAGTCTTTGTAAATATGATTAAGTTTGGGATCTTGAGATGAGGACATCATCCTGGATTAGGTGGGTGGGCCCTAAATGCCATCCATCTAACAGAGAAACCAATATTTGAGACACACATAGGAGGCAACGTGACTATGAAGGCAGAGATTGGAGTGATGCAGCTACCAAGGAATGTCAGCAGCAACCGGAAGCTGGAAGAGGCAACACTGGATTATCCTGTAGAGCCTGCGTAAGGAGGGTGGCCTTGCTGGCACCTTGATTTCAGACTTCTGGCATCCAGAACAGAAAGAGAAGACACTTCTGTTGTCTTAAGCCATTAAGGTTGTGTGAATTTGTTACAGCAGCTGCCAGAAACTAATAAGGTGCTCAACCAAAACACAGAATTCTAAAACCGAAAGAGCCTTGGGAACTTTTTGGCCCTGCCCTCTGATTGAACAGACAAACAATCCTGCAGACCTATAGGATGAAGTGGTCTGGCAAAGGCCACTCGGCAAGTGAGAGGCAGAATCAGGAACAAAACAAAGGTGTTATGACCCCAGACCAGTCTCTCTGAGCTTCCCCGCCCTGACTTTTGCTGAGTCCCAGAGTCAGGAAAGTCCAATGAGAAGCTGCTCTTCTGCTTCTGTATTTTTTTTGTATGATTACTTTAAAAGAAGCGAGGAGAGTTGAGCAGATGAAGTGTCGTAAGTTTGGAAAGTAAAATTACTGATGTTATCATCACTATTATTGATTTGGGAAATAGATTCTCTTGACTAGTCCCTCTTCCCCCAGGAAAAGGAAATGGTACTGTTTTAGGGCCACTGGGTTCCAGATGGGGAAACCACAGAGTGAGAGGGGAAGTGAGTGAGTCCAATCACACCACTGGCGTGTGGCTGCACCCCAAATAGGACGTAGGCTTTCAACTCCCTGGCTCTTCCCAGGGTTCTACTTCTCATTTTCCCCTTTCTTTAAACTGGGTCAGTAGGATCAGTGGGCTCCAGGGGTGTGTGTGTGTGTGTGTGTGTGTGTGTGTGTGTGTGTGTGGTGTGTACCTGTGTGTCTGACATGGGTCAGCTAAGACAGTTTTGGAGACTATTGAAAAACATGCAGCAGTACGTGATCTGGTAAGTTACCCACCATCATGAAATAGCAAAGCAGGGAAGGAAATCTACAACCTGTCCTCCACCCCCACAAAGGCAGCATAAGGAGCAATTATTATTATTATTATCATTATTGTTTTAGATGGAGTTTTGCTCTTGTTGCCCAGGCTGGAGTGCAATGGCACAATCTCAGCTCACCGCAACCTCTGCCTCCCAGGTTCAAGCTATTCTCCTGCCTCAGCCTCCCGAGTAGCTGGGATTACAGGCAAGCACCACCACGCCTGGCTAATTTTGTTTTAGTAGAGACGGGGTTTCTCCATGTTGGTCAGGCTGGTCTCAAACTCCCGACCTCAGGTGATTTGACCACCACGGCCTCCCAAAGTGCTGGGATTACAGGCGTGAGCCACTGCGCCTGGCCAGCAATGATTTAATGAGTGTTCTTCCCTTCCTCCCTGCAAGCCTTCACTCATTAAATGTCTACGCTAGTGTTCAGAACCTGCCTTGACTTCTACTCCAGTCTGGATAACTGGATATAAGTTATTTCTTGCTTTGGAAAGGAAGAAACGAACCCTACAAATATTTTGACTATCAAGTTCAAATGGAGAGAGGCATAAATCGGGAACCCTTTGAAAGGAGCTATAACCTGACAGAAGCAGGCTTGTCTCATCTCTGAACCTGCACATCTTGTCTCCCCTCACATCCTCCCCCTTGACATTAATCCCAGAACTGGGGAGGAGAAAGACTGCTGACGAGTAAGGAGAGATTAGTTACTGATGTGTCTTGGTGCCCTCCCATCCACCACCATGAGGCAGAGTCCCAGCTGCAGGAGGGGAGAGGAGATTAACAATGATAGAGATATCCAGGTGGGCTTGGAAATTCCAGAATGGGGGGCCTTCAGCTTGCCCATCCTGTCTAGAACTTTGGTGGTCCACAGTCTTGCTGCTATCCATTGTACCTCCCAATTGTACGGGAACACTGGCACACGGGAGGCTACAGGAGTGCTGGGGAAAATGCAGCTGTGCTGCACAGGATCCTCCAAAGGCCTCAGGAGCCTGCGATCAGCCAAGCTCACCCTGTACACACAAGAAGGGCAAGGAGAGGCTGAGAACCTGGAAGACTCACCCAAGGAAGCTCAGAGTATAGACACAGACCCCTCAGGATAAGCAGGGACAAAGCCTGCTAATCAAGCAGGATAAGTTACATCTCAGTAGACAAAACTTCTTTCTTCTGGAGCCCAAGCCCAGCACAGCATCGTGACAAAGCAAAACCAAAATAATGTGTCACTCCTTTTCACTGCCTCAGCAGTAACACTGACCACCCCCCTCACCAAGACCACTCTCCCCAGACTGGACCCTGGAGGGGAGAAGGGAGACAAAAAGCAAGGGAACTCCATAATGAGACTCAATTTTAAATCTGGAGTGAAGTGACTGAGAGATCATTGGATTGTGCTGAGTTTGCCTGGAAGTGACTAGGTAACTTACTTTCTTTTATCAATCAGATTATAGGTTTAGGGTTTGAAATTAAGGTACATCTGGAAGCCATCATCCTCAGCCAACTAACACAGGAAGAGAAAACCAAACACCGTATGTTCTCACTCATAAGTGGGAGCTGAACAATGAGAGCACATGGACACAGGGAGGGGAACAACACACACCAGACTTGTAGGGAGCAGGGTGCGGAAGAGCATCAGGACTAATAGCTAACGCATGCGGGGCTTGGTACCTGGGGGCGATGGGTTGATAGGTGCAGCAAACCACCGAGGCTCACATATACCTATGTAGCAAACCTGCACATTCTGCACATGTATCCCGGAACCTAAAACAAAAAAAAGAAAATCCAAATTTGCAAATCAAAAAAAAAAAAAGAAAAGAAAAGAAAAGAAAAAGGAAATAAGCTACATAAAGTAAAGAAAATATGAAGTTTTTTTGCTTGTCATTGAAATCTGTGATTATGCATTAACAACCACAGGTAAGCGAGTGTTAGCTCAAACAAGACCCAGGGCTCTGGCTGCCTTGTGTTCTCCAGGGCTCTGTTCCTCTTTTTCTCCTTCCCCTTCTGGTGTTTGGCCTGTAGAACTCTGTAGGGAGTGCCTGGGTCAGCCCTGCACAGGTAGGATGGGGCAGCATTTCTGTGGGAGATTGCGGTGAGGGATGGGGGGTACACGTGTGTGTTTTCTGGTGTGAGCTTCACTTGTGTCACAGGACTGCCATGATCATTTGGGGAACACCTGGGAGTCCCAACCAGGTCATGTCTTGGCAACCCGCATGGACTAACTGAGACAGGCAACGAGGTGCTACTCCAGCTCAGCAAGTCAGCACCCTCCTTGCTATGGAGCAGAGCCTGGGCCCTAACAAGACTCTGAGGTCAGCCATGATCAGGGAAGCCCAGAAGCAGCGAGTCTTTCATGACTCCAGGGAGTGAAAAGGGAAGGACCATGGTCCTGCCAGTTCCCGGAGCACTGGGACTGGTAAAAGGGGCTTTGCAGGAGGTGTGTAAAGGGTGTTTTTAGTCTAGGGTGTTTTTAGATAGGGTTCCCGAGCAACTGGGGATATGAAACCAAGTACTATGAGAACCGCTCCTGCTGCCTGTGCACCATCAGATGATGTCAACTTCAAATCAAGCATTGGGCCAGGTTTTTCACAGCTAATATCTGGCTGTATCCTCTACCTGCAGATTTGGTATGACCATCCCTCTTTTCCAGATGAAAAGGAATAGGAAAGTGACTTGCCTAAGGTCTTGCAGCTAGAAAGTGACAGAATAGCATCTTCACGCTGGACATTCTGTCTCTCATCCTGCAGTTGCAATGATGGAGGATTCCCAGTAACAGATCTCCCCAAGGTCAAAGGAAAGGCAATGGAGCCAGCCAGGAAAGCCAAAACGAAAGGAAAGCAAGGGATCTGTGAGAGTCACGTGGCCCTGGCTGGCCACGGCGCCTGTGGGAGGGTGGCCCTTTAAGAGCCCAGGTGTGGGTCAAACACTGAGCAGAGTTTCAGTTTTGGCAGCAGTATCCAGTGCCCTGCCAGCAGCTCCTAGAGAGGCAGGGGTTACTGACTGGCCAGCAGGCTGTGTCTGTGATATCAGATCAACGGGAGAGAAGGAAGTGACTACAAGTAAGTGTGACTGCTCTGGGATCTTCAGATGGGATGCTATCTGAAAAGGGCTGGGGACGGTGGCTTGGGCAATCTCCTCCATTCACAACTCCCAGTCTCCCAGATAATGGGGAGAGAAGGACAAGGGGCAGACTGCTTGACTGTGTGGTCGGGGAGTAAGCATGCAGATCCCAGTGGGCCAAGTAGGGACACATGTGTGTGGAAGCCCCCCACCTCCGTCCTTTTCTGAGAAATATCAGCATGTGGGAAGCGTGTGCAGCTCTGTGGTGAGCGTGTGCAGCTCTGTGGTGAGGGTGTGCAGCTCTGTGGTGAGCGTATGCAGCTCTACTCTTTCAGCTCGGTCTGTCCCTGGATTTCCTAACTCCTCATAGTGATCACCTGTGTGGCCTTAGGCAAGCCACCTGACCTCTCTGAGCTCCCGTTTCTTAATCTGTAAAGCAAGGATAGAAATGATACCTATCATTCAGGCTCAGTGTGGGTTCAAAGGAGAAAATACGTGTGAAATAGCTTTGTAACCTCTAGAGTGAAATAGGAATTGTTTCACATTTTCAGTTTAACTAGTCATGGATTTCTCGAACACTGGACAGACCTGGAATCGGATAATACACATAAAGTCTGGCACCCAGCAAGTCCTCTTTCAATCTCTGAGGTTTCCCACTTGGGGCTTTCTGCTGAAGGCATGTTCAGCTCCTTTTTCTCATTTTCCAAGAAGCTCTGAAATCCTTTCCAAGTCCACCTAGCTTTGCTCTAGCAGATTCCTGCCACGGGAGACATAAATGTGTGTCATCACATCATCCTGCCCTTGCAAGAGGTAGAGAGAATGAGATCCTCACAGGGCCACTGAGTGAGGTGGGGCTGAGCCCCTAAAGACACAGGCAGCATGGTCAGCTCCCGCTGCTCCTCCTGGCTCTGCAGCCAGCAGATCTCAGACATGGGCCACCCCTCCCTTTGCCCATCCTGACAGCATCCCAAGCCAGCTGTCAAACTGCCCCACACAAGGGCAGCAGCTGGTCCAGCTTGGTCCTGTCCCTGACCTCCAGTTCCCTTGTACAACTGCCACAGTGCCTGGAGCCATCAAAGCTGCTCCTATTTTGCGTGATCGCCTTCCCCCTTCACTAGGGGAATTACATGTTCCTTAACATCTGGAGAGGAGATGGCCATTTCAGGGGCTTGGGTAGAAGCCAGTTGTTTGGTGGCTACCCAGAGGCAGATGTGGAATTCTCTCTCCATCCTTCTCCCTGCTCCTGAATGTGCTAATGTAGCAGAAAGAACACTGGGCCCAGAGTCAGGAAAGCAACTCTCTCTGCCTATCTCCTAGGGCCTCTAGACGTCTGTGGTTTTAGTTGATCAAACGTGGGGTCACACCGGCTTCCATTTAGTAAACCCACTTGCCCAGAGCTTTCACAGAAAGCTTTCACCTCATTCTCCCCTGATAGAAACGAGGAGGTAGGCAGGGTTGGTTTTGTGATACCATTCCCCAGTTTATGTGAGTGGTGTAAAGTCACCCAGCAAGTGTGAATGATGATGTATCGGTACAGCCATTTTAATATGGTCATGAGGATATTTTGATATCACTTAAAAAGCAAACTATCTAACTTAAAAAAATTATTGCCTATGCATTGTGCTCAGCAGAGACCCTCCATCTATGTCTTGCCATCTCTCTGAAGAGACTGGTGCTGGAGTCCCAGCGTCACTGGCATCAACACAGTGTGGTGGAGTGGAAATGGGCTTTGGCATTAACATGCCTAGTTATAGGCATGGTTATTTACACAGTCTACATGTGGTAGGTGCTAAATAAACAGCAGCTAATATTCTCCAGGAAGAAATTTCTCTGCTGGCACCTACCCCCGGGTCCAGGTGTCTCTTTATTTTTTGAGACAGTGTCTTGCTCTGTCAGCCTTGCTGGAGCTCAGTGGCGCCATCTCGGCTTACTGCAACCTCTGCTTCCCGGGTTCAAGTGATTATCTTGCCTCAGCCTCCCGAATAGCTGGATCACAGATGCGCGCTGCCACGCTGAGCTAACTTTTGCATTTTTAGTAGAGACGGGTTTCACCGTGTTGGTCAGGCTGGTCTCAAACTCCTGACCTCGTGATCCACCCACCTCAGCCTCCCAAAGAGCTGGAATTACAGGCGTGAGCCACCGTGCCTGGCCACAGGTGTCTCTTTATAAGAACCACCTTTTCTGTGAAAGGCAGAGAGAGGAGAACTGAACAATTCTCTTCTCTAAGATAGGAAATCCTGCTCCTTCCTCTCTCCACTGCTTCCTTTCAATAGCAAGACCCTCCGAGGTATAGCAGAGTGGCTAAGAGCCTATGCTGTGGATCCAGAATCCCATCGTAGTCACTTGCCAATTGTGCAACCCGGGGAGAATGTCTTACCTCTCTGTGCCTCAATTATCTCACTCATGGAATTGGATTGCCCATTTACTCCTACCTCCTAGGGTGGCTATAAAAATTAAACACATTAACACATGTAAGGCCCCTGGGAAGAACTTGGTGTACATTCTTCTAGCCTAGTCCATAGTGCTCGTCTCCTCTCTTACCCACATGGGTCCAACCTAACTACCTCACTCTCTATCCTCAAAGGATGCCCTGCAAGCAGACTTCTACTCTCCTGTCAAGTCCAGGGGAACTTTCTTCCTCTGAAAAAGAGGGACACCTGGGCTTAGATGGACAAAGGTTTGAACTCTACACAATCAGGCCTGAATGCAGTCACTTTAATTGAATAGGAGCTAGTTAAATACATTTCATAAAAGGAAAAACGATTCTTCAGCACAGCTTACACTCCTGCCCTAATCCAACTGTGGGGACATACGTTACAAATATGTTGGGACACTAACTTAGTAAATGAAAATAATCTAGCACATCCTAGCCTCAGCAGTGAAAAAACAGCTGCTAGTTTAAAGAGGAGAAAAACCTGCCCTCATGCATGGTATAGTATCACATACAAACCCGATAAAGCAGGCCCCTCTGTTCATTTAAAAAGGATAACGAGGTGGTGACCTCAAATTCCAATTCGGCAGTGGGTCTTGGGATGAAGAATCCCTATAACCCTTAGATATCCCACCTGTGACATGAAGATAACAATATCTGTCTCTGGGGTGGTTGTGCTGATGGATGAAGTCATACAGGTAAAGAACCTAGCAAAGCCTTTGGCAAATAGCAGGTGCCCAACGTTATGCTCTTTTTCTTCCTTCCTTAAGCAAATCCTTTAAATCTAGCCCCAGACACTCTGGGGGGTTCTCTCTGAGATTTGCATCCCCTAGGTTTGGAAGAAAGTCTCTGGTTTTGAGAGAATAGGGTCTCCAGTGATTCTGAAAGCTCAGGGTCCTTTCAGCTGCTGTTAGAGAAATTGTGCTTCAAGTTTTAGCTTAGGGCAAAGAAGCGCTCCTGTTCCCAAGAGCAAGGGTCTCCTCTCCTGACAATCATCTCCTCTAGGACTGCACTGTGTGCATCCCGGTGAGGTTGCTGTCTGCTAGACCTGCATGTGCATGCCTGATGCTCTCATCCCTGGCTTGAGACTGTGCAGAGGGTAATGGATGCACACACATGCCCCCTCTCTACACAAACATGCACAGCCACCAAACATGTCACAACATGAGAAGTCTGGGATGGAGGTCAGGAACCTCACCTTGGAGAAGTTGGCACCTGACTCTGCAACCCAGGGCAAATCCAGAAGAGGGCTGCGTTCCCCAGCTCAGCTTGAGGGAAGACCACTCCTGTCTCACAGAAACACTAGAAAGCTTGCTTATCTAGAGGTAAGGACAGGAACAAGAACCAAGGCTAGCTGCTGCTGGTGTGGGTTCTTAAAAGCAGGCAGCATTTTGTCCTCCCACCTGTGACTGCACCCATCCTGTGCCAGCACAAGCAGCAAATGGTAGACCCCTCAGGACTTTGCAGCCAGCCCATCCCAACCATTCCCTAGACTTCCAGGCCTCCTGAAAGCCATTCCCACCTGGGAGCATCTCTCATGCCAGCCTGGAGTGCCCACTCAGGTGGTGATACCTCAGCCAGCATCTCCAGAGTGCTTCCACGCTGGAGCTGACTAGCATTTGGCTAAGGCCCCACTCCACAGGTTAATCATTGACCTGGTGAGAAAGGTCTGAGGCAATTAACCAGACTGAAGAGAGCCTCAGCATTGCCATCTGACACCCATATCTGTTCCCACTCCCTCCCCTGACACTTCCAAGGAACTGCAGAAACAAAATACCTTTATCTTTACAAGGAAATAAAAGGTTCCTTGCTGGGAAAGTCCCCTGCAGCAAAGAAATAATCAAGATAAACAACTGTATTGCCTTTGGCTCAGGCTGGTGAAGGGACTCTGGGAGCAGGAGCAGGGGCCAGGGTGGTGTGGGAGGTCTGGGAGTTAATGCCCAGCTTCCTCCTGCTTACAGCGTCCTTATCTTTATGGACACTCATTACTGCCCAAGCTTATGATCATTTAACACTCTCTTTGTCAAGACAACTCCGAAGTTTAAAGTCTGTCAAAGTCTGGGAAAGTGGGGACTCCTCTCTCCTCTAGGCTATAGTTGGGGTCTTGATGACAGCTGCTGTCCGGTGGGCCCCCGGGATCCTCAACCCTCCCGAGCCCTGGGCTGCGTCCACTGTGGTGACAAAGTCCACACGGGTTGCTCCGTCTGAGTGGTCTTACCTTGTTTCTTTATGGTCTACCAGGCCTTACCAGGGAGGATTGCAAGACCCTAACACCTACGCTTTTAATGCCAATCCCATAATCGAGTCACTGGGAAAACATAGCCTATCATTCAGTATTTCAAGACCTCCACGTTCTTATCCATAAAATGGTTGTGATTATACCTGTCTGTCTTATTTCTAGGGAACATGTAAGGCTCAAATGAAATAACGTAAATGATAGATAGTGCTTTCGTAAGTGACAGGATCTCTACAAATAACACGAATACGCATAAGGTAAAAGCGTGCTGCTGTATCTGGGGTGTGATACAGCACAGTGGAGAGGTTAAGAACATGGACTTTGCAGTCAGACAAAGCTGGGCCTAAGTCGTCCCCAACCCCTCTTCTGTGTACCCCCACACACTTAACCCCCGTGTGCCCTTGAGGAAAGTACTTAACCTTTAAGCCTTCATTTCCTCCCCTATGAAAGTGGATAAGAATACTAACCTTATAGGACTGATATCAAGTCTATATGAGATAATACACATGAATTATTCCATGCAGTGGCCTGGGACAGGATAAGAGAGCCATCAATGGGGTTAGGACCATCATCACTACATTAAAGCCTTAATAATCATTACACCTCCTCTGTGGGTCTCAGTTTCCTCATCTGAACACACCATGAAATATGTCAGCCTGCTTCACCTCCCAGGGATGTAGGGCGACAGCTGAAACAGAAAGATGGGGCCACGTATTGGCAGGAAGCGATCACCCAGCAAGCCATCTCTGAGTGCTTACGGTGTGCCTGGGACCGTGCCTCGTGGGCGGGGGAACAGAACAGATGACACAGTATCTCTATCCCAAAGGAACTTGCAGCTTAGTTGAGAAGAAAAAGCTACTTATAACTACTGAGGAAATATAAGCATTGAAGGATGGTAAGAATGAGTTGTTACGAAAAAGGTGGAGGCACTGATTCATTCCATAGGATTTATGTCAGTTGCTGGAGATATAAAACCAAACAGGAGTCACAGAAACTCTAAGGTCGACTAGTCTTGGAAGACAAGGGGAGCTTCATCTTGTGGTTATTGTTTTTCAGCACTGCACACAAGGAGTCGGCCTGAGCCGTGCGGCACCCAGGAGTCACCAGCAATGCTGCTCTTCGCACTCACCTGCCTGCTGGTGGTCTTCCCAGGTGTGTCTGCCAGGTCCCAACTGCCCAGGCTCCACCCCTCCAGCCTGCTGACTCCAGGGCTCACCTCCCTGGGGACACTAAAGTCAGACTCATCCACAGGGATGTCCCTCTCAAAATGGGCACCCCCTTGAGGAAGAGTCACACAGAGACAATGCCGAAAGGCCGTATCTGTGAGCCTTGGAAGCCGGGGACAGGAATGGTGCTTCCTATTCTCAAGGCCAGGGGTCTGTGAAGGATCCTCTCTGAGAATAAGAAAGAATGTGACTTCAACCAAGCATCTCTATCCACTGCAGAATTCGAGGGAAGTCACTTATCCTTCCTGGCTCTCAATATTTTTATCTGGGAAAAAAAAGAAAAGAAAATCATTTACAAAGTGTTTTTAGAAATATAAGGAAATAACACATGGCAAACATGTAACACCGACAAAAGTGGTGTTCTTGTTTTAAAAAAACAAGGGATGGCTGGATGCAGTGGCACAGCTATAATCCTAGCACTTTGAGAAGCCAAGGCGGGTGGATTGCTTGAGGTTGGGAGTTCGAGACCAGCCTAGCCAACATGGAGACACCTTGTCTCTACTAAATAAAAACAAAAATTAGCCAGCATGCACCTATAGTCCCAGCTACTTGGGAGGCTCAGACATGAGAATTGCTTGAACCTGGGAAGCGCAGGTTGCATTGAGCCGAGATTGCGCCACTGGATGCCAGCCTGGGCGACAGAGAGAGACTCTGTCTCAAAAAAAAACAAAAAATAAAAAACAGGGGATATGATAAATTTGTCATTCCCTTGTCCTTGAAATGGGTATCATTAATGAATTACCAGTAAAATTTAATCATGATTAAAGCAGTCACTTTATTTATAATCTCAGCAATTTTCCAGCTATAATATATGATAAATTATCAACAGAGGGCCTATGTATCAGGTAGAAAACCACATCTCCACAGGGTGGGTTATCTGAAACAGGCTTTACCTCCTGAGAGCCTCACAAAGCCTCTCTCTTCTGTACCCACAGCCATATCCACGAAGAGTCCCATATTTGGTCCCCAGGAGGTGAGTAGTGTGGAAGGTAACTCAGTGTCCATCACGTGCTACTATCCACCCACCTCTGTCAACCGGCACACCCGGAAGTACTGGTGCCGGCAGGGAGCCAGCGGCCGCTGCACAACCCTCATCTCCTCGGAGGGCTATGTCTCCAACAGCTACACAGGCAGGGCTAACCTCACCAACTTCCCAGAGAATGGCACATTTGTGGTGAACATTGCCCAGCTGAGCCGGGATGACTCTGGGCGCTACAAGTGTGGTCTGGGCATCAATGGCCGAGGCCTGTCCTTTGACGTCAGCCTGGAGGTCAGCCAGGGTAAGGATCCAGTCTCCTTTGGCTTCTGGGCTAAAGTTAGAGGGAATTCTCTAAGGTGCATGAAGGGCTGGAGGAGGAACTTCCTGACAACGATGCATAGACCGGCAGGAGGTCAGAAGGCTCCTCTCTCCCCAGGCAAAGAATTCTCAGAACAAGAGAAGGAGACAGATAGGGCCTACTTGGGGGTGATGAGTGAACCTTTGGAGGACTTGGTGGCCTATAACATTTTGGGCTTTCTGGAGACTCCAGCTTAGAAAGGTATGAATAGGACAAACTTCCGTGCATTTGCTACAGATAGAAAGGGAAATCTGACATCAGCCTAAGGAGATAGAAAAAGCAGGGGGAGATTTATAGGGATCTTAAAATCCCCATCATTAATGCACCTTTCCGTCAATGTTTGGGCCACCAGATGGCTTCCTGTAAAATGTATATACATTTTTAACCCGGGAACCCTTAGTTCTTCAGTATTATCAGGGTAAATTAGATTGTTAGTTCTTGACCAAAGACCAAGATCCTGAAGGGATGGATTGCGAACAAGCCTTTTCTAGTTGGAGACAGAGAAAAAAGGAAAATCTCTTTCTGAAAGGGTTTAACAATGAGGCTATTGTAGACAATCAAGGGCAACTAAAAGAGATCTTGAGGGAGGAAAGAAATTTAGAGGAACCCCCAAAGATAGATAGGTTTGGCTCCTTTGGAATGTGTATACTATTGTCTGCTTAAGGGAGGAAAGAAACTTAGAGGGACCCCCAAAGATAGGTTTGGCTCCTTTGGAATATGTATACTATTGTCTGCTTAAGGGAGGAAAGAAATTTAGAGGGACCCCCAAAGATAGGTTTGACTCCTTTGGAATATGTATACTATTGTCTGCTTAAGGGAGGAAAGAAATTTAGAGGGACCCCCAAAGATAAGTTTGGCTCCTTTGGAATATGTATACTATTGTCTGCGGACTAAATGAAGAGGTCATTTCAGTGGGGATAAAGTCTCAAAAGCACAGAATCTTAAGAGGCAAAGAGAGCTTAGAGTTCGCCCAATCCAGCTGCCTAGAAGAGCGTGTAGATGATGGGTAAGCAGCCTCTGATTAAGCACCTTAGCAGAAACTCAATGCTCCATGAGACAGCCCGTTCCACATTTAGACCGTTGTAATTTTTAGAAACTTTTATTGAAGTGCATTGAAATCCATCACCCTGGATTTACATTCATTCTGTTCATTTCAACGCACATTCATTTGGCCACCTACTATCCAGAGGCATTGTGCTTGTCACAGCAGAGGGCTCAAACATGAGGAAAACATGTCCCTGCCCTCAAGGAACTTCCAGTCCATGGAGAGCATAATTAACCATATACCAGATTGGATGTGATAAGTGATGCAGATGTATCTAGAAAGCACAGGGCAGGGAGAGATTCATGTCAGCTGGGGAAGTTTTCACGGAGGAGACAGCTGTCAAGCTGGGCCTCGGAAGACATATTCTGACAGTGATCCTCTGGGAAGGAGAACATTCCAGGTTATAAGCCCACCCACACCCTAACTGGGAATAGAAAATAGTCCCATGTTGCAAGAAATTAGAATCACAGCTTGCCCCACCCTGCACCCCCCATCCTGCAGATCCTGGGCTCCTAAATAACACTGAAGTCTACACAGTGGACGTGGGCAGAACAGTGACCATCAACTGCCCTATCAAGTCTGAGGATGCTGAGAAGAAAAAGTCCTTTTACAAGATGATAGGCGAGAACCCTGTGCTGATCACTGACACCACCTCGTATGTGAGTCCCAACTATAAGGGCAGAATACACCTTGATATTCACGGTACTGACCAGTTAATGTTCATCATCGTCATCAACCAACTCAGGCTCAGCGATGCAGGGATGTATTTCTGCCAGGCCGGGGTTGATTCCCAGGCTGACAAGAAGAATGTTAACCTCCAAGTGCTAGCGCCCGAGCCCGAGCTGGTTTATGGAGACCTGAGGGGCTCAGTGACCTTCAACTGTGCCCTGGGCCCTGAGGTGGCAAACTTGCCCAAATTTCTGTGCCGGGTGAGCAATGGGGAAAACTGTGACATTCTCATCAACACCCTGGGGAAGAGGGCTCCAGCCTTTGAGGGCAGGATCCTGCTTAGCCCCAAGGACAAGAATGGCTTGTTGAGTGTGCTGATCACGGGCCTGAGGAAGGAGGATGCAGGGCGCTACCTGTGCGGAGCCCACCCGGATGGTCAGCTGCAGGAAGGCTGGCCCATCCAGGCCTGGCAGCTCTTCGTCAATGAGGGTAAGACCCTAGAGAGGGATGGAGAGGAGGTGGGGCAGTCTCACAGATGAGGGCCCAGCTCAGCTCCCTGTGAGTCCATTCATCAATAGTCATCAATCAGCTGACAGCATCCAGTCACTGACCAGTCTCGAACTGGAGGCTGAGTGGGCTGCTGCAGGAGACAGCGAGAAAAAGCAGCCTCTGCCTGGTGGTAGCTCCTAATTACTCTTCTGTTATCAAAGTCCTTTTGATGGCTGTCACAGCTTAACAAGTAAGCAGTGAGTAATGCTTCCAATTGAGCATTAGGATAGTCTAAGAACTTATTAGACAGTGTTTCAGGGTGGTGGTGGCAGGATCCGCATGGGCCCTCTGTCCCCTCCCCTGGCCCCTGAACAAGATGGGAAAAGACTGGCTTATCTTGGTCTCAGTGATAAGCCCCACCCTGCACCCCTCATCCCTCACATTCAGATGGGAAAAGATTGGTTTCTCTTGGTCTCAACGTGTTCCAACTGGAGTGCCCCAGCTTCTAAATGTTTCACTCCCACATCTCATAGGGTTATTTGTGAATCGGCCCCATCTGGCCCGCTCAGCCCTACTCTTGCGAGCCATCAGCATGGTGAAAGAATTAAATCTCAGTTCCTTCTCTCCCAGAGCACTCTGCACAGAATTGCCCTTGTGAGAAGTAGCAAACCATTCCTTGTAGTTCTGTGCTTGTGACTTTTCTTAAAGGGGCTTATGTTCCCTGCACGTCCTGTCCATATCCAGCTCCAGGTCCTCACCAGGTCCCCCTGCGTCTTTGGTCACGTGGGTTCTCTCTGAACCTCAGCTTCAGCTGCCTGGAGAATGGCTGTCCTCTTTGAGATGTCCCTTGGGGCCCCAACAATTAAGGTCACCTGTGCTACTTGGTTTGTATTATACATCACACCATTCTAAAAACATTTTCTTGATTTGGAAATGATCCAGTTGGCCATTTTTGTGGAATAGACTAATAAACAGGCCAAAACTTATACAAAGGGAGACTTTGTAAGAAGCCACAGGAGAAGAGCTGCTTTCTTTCCTTTGACTCCTTCCATTCTCTGCTCAGAATGACATGTCTGGGCTGATGGGGACACTCCTTGTCCCTGGAGTCTGGCCCCGGTGGCTCCAGCTGCAGGCTCTGTGACATTAGGAAGGTTCCTTTTCATTTTCTGAGGAGGGTAAGGTGATGCGTATAAACTTCATCCCCCCATCCTGGCTGAGACCCCAGGGCAAAAGACTTCTCAGGCCACGCAAGGCTCTTCCCAAGTGACCATCCTTCCATCCCATTTCTGTCTGTGCTTCCAGAGTCCACAATTCCCCGCAGCCCCACTGTGGTGAAGGGGGTGGCAGGAGGCTCTGTGGCCGTGGTCTGTCCCTACAACCCTAAGGAAAGCAAAAGCATCAAGTACTGGTGTCGCTGGGAAGGGACCCAGAATGGCCACTGCCCCCTGCTGGTGGAGAGCGATGGGCTGGTTCAGGAACAGTACGAGGGCCGGCTCGCCCTGCACCAGGAGCCTGGCAACGGCACCTACACCGTCATCCTCAACCAGCTCACCAGCCAGGACGCTGGCTTCTACTGGTGTCTGACCAATGGCGATACTCGCTGGAGGACCACTGTGGAGATCAAGATTATAGAAGGTAAGAGCTGAACAGGGAGGGAGAAAGCTCTAAGACCTCTCCAGCCAGCAGCCGCATCCCCAGCCACTCCTCCTCCTCTCTCACCTGCCTCCACGCTGATGGGAGAGAGCCCACCTGTCCAGAGGTCACATTTTTATACCTGTAACACGCACCCTACACTCAGAATACCAAACATGGTACCTCCTACTAGTGAGAGCATGAACTTCTTTCGCAGTGTGCAGGAGTCAGCTGAAATCGAGGACTGCAGATAGCTCTTTGTACTGAGTCTAGAAGAGAAGGAAGAGTGAGGAAAGCAAAACGAAGTCCATGTGCAAGAATCCATGGGCTATGGTAGACTTTGGATTTGACCATGATGCTCATCAATAATAATTATTACCTAGACACACAATGGCCTTGCTTATGGAGTCAGAAAACATTTCTAATGCTGTCCAAAGAGGAAATGTAGACTAAGCATGCTGGTGCATGCCTGTAATCCCAGAATGTTGGGAGGCCAAGACAGGAGGATCACTTGAGCCCAGGAGATGGAGGCTGTGGTGAGCTATGATTGCACCACTACCCTCCAGCCTGGGTGACGCAGAGAGAGACCCTGTCTCAAAAAATATATATATATAAAGAAGACTTGTGGACAAAGGTTCCCACCAGAGTCACTTCCCTGCAGCATCTCCAAATACCAAATTCTGTGCCTATTTCTACCGCCCTTCCTCCTCCAGGAGAACCAAACCTCAAGGTACCAGGGAATGTCACGGCTGTGGTGGGAGAGACTCTCAAGCTCCCCTGCCACTTCCCATGCAAATTCTACTCGTATGAGAAATACTGGTGCAAGTGGAGTAACAAGGGCTGCCAGGCCCTGCCCAGCCAAGATGAAGGCCCGAGCCAGGCCTTCGTGAACTGTGACCAGAACAGCCGGCTCGTCTCCCTGACCCTGAACCCAGTGACCAAGGCAGACGAAGGCTGGTATTGGTGTGGTGTGAAGCAGGACCACGCCTATGGAGAGACTGCAGCCATCTATGTGGCAGTTGAAGAGAAGAAGGTGGCAGGTGAGTCTCCAAGGACAGGGCCTGTGCCCCCCAGACTCAGAGGCAGGACTTCCTGAAGGCCCCTGCCTCAGAGCCTCTCCATCAGTGCTGGCCCCCTGTGTTTGGCTGTCAGAGGCTGAAAGTGGGTGGGGAAGGGAGGGGACATTTAGGTCCTATAGAGCCTCATTGAGCCCTTCAAAAGGGACATCTCGAATAGACATATCAACTAAGTAGAAATAGTGGGTTTGCTATTTAACCTCGGCATTTATACAAGTCCCAGCTGAAGGTGGTGGCTCACACCTGTAATCCCAGCACTTTGGGAGGCCGAGGTAGGCAGATCACTTGAGGTCAGGAGTTCAAGACCAGCCTGGCCAACATGGAGAAACCTTGTCTCTACTAAAAATACAAAAATTAGCCAGGCATGGTGGCACATGCCTGTAATCCCATCTACTTGGGGGATCGAGGTGTGGGAACTGCTTGAACCCAGGATGTGTGGGGTTGCAGTGAACTGAGATTGCACCACTGCACTTTAGCCTAGGCGACGGAGCTAGACTCCGTCTCAAAAAAGAAACCAAGTTTAATAGTCGTCACTTCAAGGCCGGGTGCGGTGGCTCAAGCCTGTAATGTGGCTCCCAGCACTTTGGGAGGCCGAGGCGGGTGGATCACGAGGTCAAGAGATCGAGATCATCCTGGTCAACAAGGTGAAACCCCGTCTCTACTAAAAATATAAAAAATTAGCTGGGCATGGTGGCGCATGCCTGTAATCTCAGCTACTCAGGAGGCTGAGGCAGGAGAATTGCCTGAACCCAGGAGGCAGAGGTTGTGGTGAGCCGAGATCACGCCATTGCACTCCAGCCTGGGTAACAAGAGCGAAACTCCATCTCAAAAAAAAAAAAAAAAAAAAAAGTTGTCACTTCAGCCCAAATTGAAATCTCTTCTCTCTCTGGAAATATTCTTCTGTGCATAGAAGAATAATATGCATACATTACAGTCATATGCAATACGTTCATCCTCCTTCCCCTTGCCAAAGCTTGCCCTCAAAAGAAGGCCAGATACCTTCATTTACAAGGTCTGATTAAGAAAATTAGGCAACCTCATCTAGTAAGTTTGCATTTCAAGCCCCCTTTTAAAATTCACATGAATTGTTTTATCCCTAATAAGGGTATTTTGTAATCCTTCAAGAAATCCTTCTGTGTCTGGACCCTGCCAGGGGGACTCACTGAGGGACCCATCCCCAGGCTACCACCAGGGGGCAGCACTATTGCAGCCAACTCTGCAGTCAGGAAGCCTGGAGAGCCGTGAAAATCTCCCTGGCCTAAATGATGGGTCAGCCTTTATGCACGGATGATCTAATACACAAAGCCTTGAAGGTCCCCACCATACTTTTGTTAGTAATGGGGCAGAGATCATCTGTGACAGCTGACGAAGGCCATAGTGGCTCTGTTTCTAATGTCATCCTGGGTCCTACCCCAATAGCCTTGAGATCGAACCCTGACCCTGTGATTCCTCATGGAGTCTCCCCAGACTCCTTTACCTCAAAGAGTAAGAGCATGGAGGAAAAAACCACGACCCAGGCCCATCTTTCCTGTTGCAGGGTCCCGCGATGCCAGCCCAGCGAAAGCAGATGCTGCCCCTGATGAGAAGGTGCTGGAGTCTGGCGTCCAGGAGATTGAGAACAAAGCTGTTCAGGATCCCAGGCTTTTTGCAGAGGAAAAGGCGGTGGCAGATGCAGGAGATCAAGCTGGTGGGAGCAGAGCATCTGTGGATTCCAGCAGGTGAGGAAGGATTCAAGGCTCCCCACTCAGAGAACACCCCAGAGCCGAGGACCTGAGGTTGGGCCACCAGGTCCAAGGAGGAAAGCCTGTCTGTCTCTTGAGCACTGGGGCAACCCTTATGACCTCTGCTTATATGTGGGAGGGTCCCATGGCACCCTCTACCCTTTCCCATGGCTGAGGAGGTGTTTACAATGCAGTTCCATCTTCCAGGCCTGGGATGCAACAAGACCCAGTGCTTGCCTTTGCAGTCTGGGAAGCCTTCTTAGAAGAGCAGAGCTAGGGAGCTGCATCAGCAGGATGGGGTGGATAAACCTGGGAGGAAAAAATAGCCGAGCCAACCTTGTCAGCACTTCCTCGGGCCCCCAGCTCTCCCTTCCAGGGATGAACTAACGTAAAGTCTTCTTCCAGTTCTGAGGAACAAGGTGGGAGCTCCAGAGCGCTGGTCTCCACCCTGGTGCCCCTGGGCCTGGTGCTGGCACTGGGAGCTGTGGCCGTGGGGGTGGCCAGAGCCCGGCACAGGAAGAACGTGGGTGAGTCCCTGGGATACTCCCTGCCTCCCGCCTCCAACCCCAGCCCTCAGTCCTGAATCATCCACCCATAGAGGAGGCTGTGTTGTCTCTTCTTTTTCACAGGCTAAAACATAGGATCCTGAGAAAGCAGGGTGGGGAAAGATGAACCCACATATATGCAAAACTTAAATTCTGGGCTGCTGTCCAAATACTATCTTTGGGAAATCATCTCCAACTACCCGTGGTCTAAGTTCAGAGGCAGAGCTGCCAGGAAGAGGAGATCGGGTTTTGGGAGACCCTGGGCTTGGACTAGTTGGATAACTAATGAGCTGTGTGACTTTGGGGCATCCTTATGCCATGCCTCGGTTTCCTTATGGGTCCAGACGAGGTGATAATCGCCACCTTGCAGGGCTGATGCGAGGACCAAGGGAGATGCTGTGCGTTGAAAGTTCCCAGACTGACAAACAAAGATCAGGGATTATCAAGTCTTGATGACCCAGAAAAAGGGACTAGGGAGGATCCTTTCCATCCGCCTGGGCCATCGTCAGAGGCGCACTACCTCAGCTGTCCCGCGGGGCTGCAGCAGATCCACCCACTCTGGCCTTCTAGGCCCCAGCCCCTGTCCCTACACCAACTCCTCTTCCTCCTGTACAGACCGAGTCTCAATTGGAAGCTACAGGACAGACATTAGCATGTCAGACTTTGAGAACTCCAGGGAATTTGGAGCCAATGACAACATGGGAGCCTCCTCCATCACTCAGGAGACATCACTCGGAGGGAAAGATGGTATGGCCCTCACTCAAGAGAATGCTCAGCCCCTGGGGAGAGCAAGAATTGGCCCCACGTTGGGGTTGGAAAAAGGAAGCTAGTAAGGGCTAACCTATCCCCTCTCTTCACACAGGGTTCGTTGCCACCACTGAGAGCACCACAGAGACCAAGGAACCCAAGAAGGCAAAAAGGGTGAGGAGGAAGAAGGAAGCCCCACTATGTAATAAGGAAATGCAGCATGAGGGACTGCAGTTAGACTTCAGGAAGAACTACCTCGACATGTGGGCTGATCCCAGAATAGGGAGGATGGTGTAAATAGTCCTCAGGAGTCCTCAGGACCTTTTGAGAAAGAGTTATATCTTACTGGTTGTGGGATGCTGATGTGGATGAGGCCCAGGAAGGAGTGAGCTGCATGATTAGACTGTAAACCTGCAGGAGGGAAGTAGGTGGGAGATGTGGAAAGCAGGCCCATAAAAGATGGCATCGCAGGCTGAATGCTGCTGATGAAATGCATGCTCTTCCTGGGGTGGGGGACACAAGGACCTTGGGCCACACATCCTCCCTTGAGGATTGGCTCAGGACCAGCCTTTTGCCTGGTCCTTTTGCCCATATTACCATTCCCTCCAACTTCCCTAGGACTCAGGGCACCCAGAAAATAACATCTCGTGCCTCTAATCTCGAGGCGATAGTTGTTTTGTTTTATCGTATCTACTTTTTCTTGAAACAGCTCTGGCATTTAGCAAAGTCAGAATAAGTTATTCCTGGAGACAGCCTTCCCCTTTAGCTTCGTGGTGCCAAAAAGCTACCTCTCTGGGCTGGTAGAGAAAGAAAAACATAAGCCACCGTGGTTGACCCCAGCCTAGGGCACCTTGCCCATGGATTGTGTGGGCACAGCTTCCCGGGACAGGCCCGGGCAACCGAGGTGGTTCCACTCCATGTGTCAGAAGGAGGTAGTGAGACAGAGGGAGATATTTTTAGAGGCGGCAACTTTCCATTTCTCAAAATGCATCGTTGTTGGTGAGCATGGGGGCTGGGATGAGAACGGTGGTCCCCACCTGCTTGTGTTACTTGGGTCAAGATCATGAATTCAGGACACTGAGTACCTCCCCTCCCCTCCCCTCTGACTCCACACACTGAGCCAGCGCCCCCAACACTGACGCTTCTCCTGTTGCCCCTTAGTCATCCAAGGAGGAAGCCGAGATGGTCTACAGAGACTTCCTGCTGCAGTCGAGCACGGTGGCCACTGAGGCCCAGGACGGCCCCCGGGAAGCTTAGATGCTGCCGCCGCCTGCTCCCTGCACCCATGACAATCACCTTCAGAATCATGTCGATCCTGGGGCCCTCGGCTCCCGGGGACCCCACTGCCTGCCCTCCCACCTGCCTAGGTTTTTCCTGCTGTCCTCAGCGGCATGCTGGTCCCCTCCTCAATGACACTGGTCTAATTGCTCCTATTGGGGGTGAGGGTGGCGTGAGGAGGTTCCACTTGTAGCTTCTTTCTGTTGAGAGAACCTCAGGTATGGAGGAGATAGAGAAGTCCTCAGGTGTCCCTTGAAGGAAGAGGGACCAGGGTGGGAGAGCTGATTGCAGAAAGGAGACGTGGTGCCTCTCTGCACCCTTATCATGGGATGGCAACAGAATTTTTCCCTCCACTCCATTCCTCCCTCCCGTCCTTCCTCTCTTCTTTCCTTCCATCCAAAGGTATATTTGAATATGTACTAGAGTCCAAGCGCTCTGCTGGAGGCGGGAGCAGGTGTGCCACCAACCTCGCTGACAGCCTTTCTGAGGACACCAGTAAAAGAAGCCACAGCTCCTCTTGGTGAATTTATACTCACTGAGTCTTAACTCCTCACCAGGTGTGCTCACCTCTGCCTCTATTGGGAGATGTCATAAAATATCTCGAGTCCTAAGGCCTTAGGTCATGTATGAAGGAAATACATATAGGTCATTATAAACGCACATTCTTACTATTTCACATGTGAGGACATTGAGGTTTGGAGGAGTGAAGTGTGTTTTTTTTTTTTTTCCTTTCTTTTTTTTTTTTTTTTTGAGGCATAGTCTCATTGTGTCACCCAGGCTGGAATGCAGTGGCATGATCTCAGCTCACTGCAACCTCCACCTTCTGGGTTCAAGTGATTCTCATGCCTCAACCTCTTGAGTAGCTGGGACTACATACATGTGCCACCATGTCTGGCTAATTTTTTTTATAGAGACAGGGTTTTGCCATGTTTACTAGGCTGGCCTTGAACTCTTGGCCTCAAGTGATCCGCCCTCCTCAGCCTCTCCAAGGGCTGGGATTACAGGCATGAGCCACTGCACCCAGCCCTGAAGTGTTTTTCTCAAGGGTTCTCAGTGAGATAAACAAAATTTGATGTCACCTGTCCTGGGCCAGGGATCTCTCTGCAAGAGTCGCTGCCCGTCTTTTGGAGGTACAGTTTTAGAATAAGGAAGAGGAGGAAGAAGAGAAAATATAAAGGAAGGAGACTGATCTTTCCCAGACCCCACCTGAGGGAAAACAACCCTATCCATTTCTGTCACTCACATGGACCTAAGATACAAGAACAGCCAAACCCTCACAACCCCTGATGTTTCAAGAGTTCCAAGTTGAAGGGAAGCAAAGTGATGCCACAGAGGGGCAGCTCTCCAGAAAGCTAAAATTTCGTTTCTTTTTCCCTCTGATTTCTGTACTTCAGCCAGCCTACAAGTTGATACTTGCTAACAAATCAGAAATATGACAATGAATAATTAAAGACTGTGATTGCCACCAAGGAGGCTCAGATTGTATTTGTCCCCAATACCTTCTGTCTCCCAGGTGGCCCCTTCAGAGCCCTTCTTTTTCTTTTCTTTTTTCGTTTTTTGACAGGGCACTCTGTTGCCCAGGCTGGAGTGCAGTGGTGCAATCATGACTCACTGCAGCCTCGACCTTTGGGCTCAAGTGATTCTCCCACCTCAGCCTCCAGAGAAGCTGGTGGCATCTGCCACCACACTGGCTAACTTTTTGTGCTTCTTTGTAGAGACAGAATTTTGCCACGTTGTCCAGGCGGGTCTCGAATTCCTGGGCTTAATTGATCCTCCCACCTCTGCCTCCCAAGGTGCTGGGGACCCAAGCGTGAGCCATTGCATCTGCCTTTTGCTTCGGTCCCACTTTTAGGCACCCCGGGTCCCCCTGGTCTGTTAAGATCATTCCTAAGTTCTGGTGTAAAACCATGTCATATCCTATAAGGACTGTCCAAGCTGTCTGTTGGCAGCTAGCCCCCCATCTCACCCCTAGACTCTTCCACAGGGCTTCTGCGTGTGGAGAGTCCTCTCTGCGAGAGTTCTCCCCAGTCTACCATCCGGCATGATGGGAACCTTTGCTTCCACTCAGGCCTTGCACATAATGCTGAGGCTGCTACGAGCTTCCCGAACCTACACTTTCCCAGGACTCAGCCTTCAGTCCTCTTTTGATTTCCCCTCCAGCCCCACTAATTACAGTACTCAGGCTCAGCTCCGAGGCCCCGACCTGGGTCAGAGCCTTGGGCTTCTATCTAGCCAGAAGAGGGGGCATCAGGAATGTTTATTTCTCTCTTTGCTAGGCATGCATCGCTTCTGGAATGCACCAGATCGTTCCAGGAGAATCAAAATGACAAGGTGTGTCAGAACCTACCACTGTCTTACCCCTCCAGGAAGCTGTTCTCTGACTCACCGAAGGGCCTGGTGTATGGTAGAGAATTAAAATGCAACTTCTGTTATCAGTGCCAATAATCAGCTAGCAAGTCCTGAGCTCGTGCCACCTATCCCAGTCCCTAGAAGCAAAGGTCAAGAAATGTCACTAAAGCCAAAGGTGACCTTATATTATTCCTAAGTGATATTGTCAGTCCAAAGTCCATCTGCCCCCACATGTAGCACGAGAAACCCTTTTAAAGAAGGAGGCTGGTCCATAGGTTCCAGTGGGCATGAGTTTGGAGGGGATGTGCTTCAGCTCAGTACAAGGCAGGGGCAATCAACTGCAAGACTGATGGTGATAAACCAGTTAGCAATGGTCCGTGGCCCCGAGCATTCAAGGAGCTATTTAAACATTTGATGACAAGGAAATCTTCCCCAAATTCTTGAATTCTCTTAATTTTTATTATTTTTTAAAGTCCAATATGTAAAGATAGGACTATTATTAAGGTCCAACTATTATTAATGCTCAAGCACTGTGGGGCCCAACAGTGGTTGGGAATTTTTTTGTTTGTTTGTAGAGACAGGGTCTTGTTTGTTGCCCAGGCTGGTCTGGAACTCCCGGCCTCAAGCAATTCTTCTGCCTGCACCTCTTAAAGCACAGGGACTACAGGCGTGAGCCACCGCATCCAGCCAGGAAGTTGTTGATAGCAATCGATCTTGTTTTGTAAAGCTGAAAATAGATTCCTGATTTAGACTTTTCCAAGACTCAAGACATGACATCTCTCCCAAGAACATTAAACAGCAGCGAGAGGAATGGACTGTGCTGTGGTCTATGAAACTGGTCCCCCAGGCAGAGATATCAGTTGAGTTTCCCACCATCACCCCCGGCTTTCCTAAAATAATGATCTCTACTAGGGAGTCTGTGCAACAAAAATAAGATACCATCTCAAAAAGGCTACATGTCTGAGTGGACAGTGGACACGCTGAGAAGCAAGCTATGAGGCTGAGACCGAAGGCCCCAGCAGGCCGTGGAGCGAGGCCGGCTTAGAAGGGGCATCATCCAGAGTAGGAACCAAGCAGGTCTGGAGTGTCTCTTCCAAGGCTGATTCTTATTTTTGGGGATTGTTTTGTTTTGTTTTTGAGATGGAGTCTTGCTTTGTTGCCCAGGCTGGAGTGCAGTGGCACAACCTCGGCTCACTGCAACCTCCGCCTCCTGGGTTCAAGCGATTCTCCTGCCTCAGACTCCCGAGTAGCTGGGATTACAGGTGCACCCACCATGCCCAGCTAATTTTTGTCGTTTTTTAGTAAACATGGGGTTTCCCCATGTTGCCAAAGTTAGTCTCAAATTCCTGACCATGTGATCCACCCACCTCGGCCTCCCAAAGTATTGGGATTACAGGTGGGAAACACCGCGCCTGGCTGATTCTTAAAAGGGCAGCCAAGCTGCTCTCCCCAGAGCCAAAAACCTTTGTCCTAGATACAGGGACATGAATATTCTAAAACCCAGGTTTTTGCTGTTATGTCACATAGAAGTTGATCCTAAAGTCCTCCTAAAGTTTGGAGTTTTAGCCTCAGAACTCCAATAGGAATATGGCTGTAGTCAGGAAAGAAATCTTAGTCAACAAAATTCCACCGTTTATTATTTTTTAAAAAGTCACAAATAGGCTTGTTGTTGTAAAGGGGAATGCTCAAAGGCCCTACTCCTGTGGAGTGGCTCGCTCTGGGACAGGCAAGTCTGGGGTCCTGTGGTGCTGGGAAGGACGGGACTGCAGGGTGCCTGTGTCAGGTACCTCTCCCTGGGGCGGGGGCTTGTTCTTGCTGAGTTCACCAGACAAGGAGATTCTTGTGGTCATTGCAGAGAACAGCATTGGGTCATGGAGAGGACCACCTGAGGATGGAGGCCCTCAGTTTGGGAAGGCCCAGGAAATGGCCCTTCTAACCCGGCCATGAGGAGGTTAAAGTAGAGAATGCAACAACCAGGCAGAACCCATGACAACAACCTCCACCAGTGGGGGTGGCTCCTCTCCACTGCACTCTGACCACAGCACAGGCCGTATGCTGAGTCCCTTGTAACACGGACCTCATGTGATCCTCACAACAGCCTTATGGGAAATGTTCTTCTTAGCCCATCTGTGACATAGGGAGGACGGCAGAGCCTAAGCTGAAAGGTCATCACCGAGAGTGAATGAATCCACCGAAAGGTCTTACACTTTCCAGTGTCTTTCACATTATTTATTCTCTCCACCCGGCTGTCGGGGGGCTATGAATGTTTTCCATCAGGTTCACGCCTTCTGGTCCCTAGAGGGTGCTGGGCCATTGGCTCTCCTGCCCCAGGGTGTGCTCCAGCCTGGCAGACACTCTCCACACACTCACACACACAAGCACACTCCACAGAGCGCACGCACACTCACAGCCACACACCACACATTCACACACACACCTACTACACAGAGCACCATGGCGGCCCTGTGAGTCAGAAAGGAGAAATCGAGTTCAGACGAGAAAAAAAGAGAAGAAAGTAAGGATGTAATAATCGTAAACTTCACGATTTCACCAGCCGTCGATCTTCCCTTGGGCCCCAACCCCCATGATCCAGGGGTAACAGCTGAAGATACAAACAAGACAGGCCCAGTTCTGGGAGTTTTGATCCCCTCAAACTCCAAAATTTCACCTCCTGCCCAGCCGCCCCAGACCCCTAAGTCTTAGTCTTAACAACCTAATGGGATGTTTTCAGGGTTTCACTTGGGCCACACGTGGTGCGAAAAGCTCTCCTACCCACTTGCATTCCACACACCTTCTGCCGTGCCTGGCGGGCCCCAGACTCAGCACAGCCAAACCCGGGTCACAGACATGCACACACACTCACACTCCACGGAGCACACACAGCCCACAACACACATACGCTCATAACCACCACACACTCACACACTCCACGGAGCACACACAGCCCACAACACACACACGCTCATAACCACCACACACTCACACACTCCACAGAGCACACACATAGCCCACAACACTCATACACACTCATAACCACATACCACACACACACTCCACAGAGCACACACATAGCCCACAACACTCATACACACTCATAACCACATACCACACACACACTCTACAGAGCACACACATAGCCCACAACACTCATACACACTCATAACCACATACCACACACACTCCACAGAGCACACACAGCCCACAACACACACACGCTCATAACCACCACACACTCACACACTCCACAGAGCACACACACAGCCCACAACACACACACACGCTCATAACCACCACACACTCACACACTCCACAGAGCACACACACAGCCCACAACACACTCACACGCTTATAACCACCACACACCCCACAGAGCACACACACAGCCCACAACACTCATACACACTCATAACCACACACCACACACTCCACAGAGCACACAAACAGCCCACAACACATTCACACTCACACACTCATAACCACACACCACACACACACTCCACAGAGCACACACAGCCCACAACACACTCACACGCTCATAACCACCACACACCCCACAGAGCACACACACAGCCCATAACACTCATACACACTCATAACCACACAACACACACACACTCCACAGAGCACACACACAGCCCACAACACTCATACACACTCATAACCACACACCACACACACTCCACAGAGCACACACACAGCCCACAACACTCTTACACTCTCTTAACCACACAACACACTGATGTTCCACAGAGCACACACACAACACACTCACACTCACAACCCCACGGCACACACTCACACACTCCAGAGCACACACACAGCCCACAACACATTCACACTCACACACTCATAACCACACACCACAGAGCATACACACAGCACACAACACACTCACACTCACTCATAACCACACACCACACGCATACAGTCCACAGAACACAACACTCTCATACTCATAACCACACAACACACACTCCACAGAGCACACACACAACACACTCTCAAAGTCACACACTCATAACCACACACCACACACACACGCCACAGAGCACACACACAACACACAACACTCTCAGACATACTCATAACCACACACCACACACACTCCACAGAGCACACACACAGCCCACAACACACTCACACTCAACCACACACTACACAATCACACACTCCACAGAGCACAGACACAGCCCACAACACTCTTACACTCTCTTAACCACACAACACACTGATGTTCCACAGAGCACACACACAACACACTCTCAAGTCACACACTCATAACCACACACCACACACATACGCCACAGAGCACAGACACAGCCCACAGCACTCTCATACTCACACACTCATAACCACACACAACACACTCACACACCCCACAGAGCGCACACACAACACACAACACTCTCAGACATACTCATAACCACACACCACACACACTCCACAGAGCACACACACAACACACTCTCATAGTCACACACTCATAACCATACACCACACACTATACAGAGCATGCACACATAGTGACACCACACACACACTCATAACCACACACACACACTCCACAGAGCACACACAGTCACAAAACACACACACACAAGCACACACTACACACTCCACAGAGCACACACAGTCACAAAACACACACACACAAGCACACACTACACACTCCACAGAGCACACACAGTCACAAAACACACACACACAAGCACACACTACACACTCCACAGAGCACACACAGTCACAAAACACACACACACAAGCACACACTACACACTCCACAGAGCACACACAGTCACAAAACACACACACAAGCACACACTACACACTCCACAGAGCACACACAGTCACAAAACACACACACAAGCACACACTCCACACTCCACAGAGCACACACAGTCACAAAACACACACACACAAGCACACACACACTCCACAGAGCATGCACACACTCATAGCCACACACCACACATTCACACACATACTACACAGAGCCCATACACAGCCACACACCACATTCACACTCACACACAGTCATACACTACACATACACACATAACCACACACCACACACACACAACTACACATAGCACACACTCACTCATCCACATATTCACAATCACATACTCATAGACACCCACCACACATTGACACTCACATCCGACACACAGCACACACTCATAGCCAAACTAGAGCCAAAAATCTTTGTCCTAGATACAAAAACATGAATATTCTAAAGTTCAAGTTTTTGCTGATATATCACATTCACACACACACTACACACAGCACACTGATAGCCACACACCACGCATTCACATTCGCTACACACAGCACACAATCAGCCCCACACCATGCATTCATGCTCACATATTATACACAAGGTGCACACACACTCACAGCCACACACCACACATGTGCACACACACTTCACACATCATACACTCACAGCCACACATACATTTACACAGACACACTACACATAACACACACACATAGTCACACAACACACTTTCCCACAGTACACAGCGCACACACTCATAGCCACACAACACTTATTCATGCACTACACACATCACACACTCTTAGCCACACACGTTTACACACTGACTACACACACTGACACTATAGCCACACACACCACACACACATCATGTACCACACAACGCACATTACACCCTCACACACCACACCTCACAGTCACATGCCACACATATTTCATGTGCTCAAACATCAGAGCCATACAATCCACATCACCCACTCACACATTCACACATATATTCACACTCACACACTCTTCCCCACACACACATCACGTTCATTGACTCATACTCTTCTCTGTCTCTCCAAGACAGTCCCAGGCCTCAAGCCCAGCGCATGGTGGAGTCCAGCTGCGTGACAGCTCTGGGGCATTGGGAAGAGCCTGCCACATAGGGAAGGATGGGGCTGATCCTAGCTGGGAGCTCTGGCACTAAGCAGAGGCCTGAGGCTGCCCTCTGCCATTTTGGCCCATTTCAGGGCTGAAGGACATCACAGCCACAGCTGCTCTAGGCCAAGGTAGACTCAGATAGGGATGGGGCAGGGCAGGCTGCCTGCCCACGCACACACTTCCTCTGCACCTGCTCTGAGCCTCACATTCAACCTCCACCGCCGATGTTGTTGTTTTGGAGAGCATGTGACAAATCCGGTGTGTGGGGGCGAGCAATGAGTACTGTGGAGCCCAGCTCTGTCAGTCACACCCTCCCAGAAACAGTATGAGAATAGCCCGGATCCTCCAGGGGCACAAGAGGCCCTTGCACCTGGGGTTGGGGCCCTGGGACAGTTCCCAGGGGAACTGTCTGACTTCTGGGGATGAAACTTCTAGGAATGGAGCCCTGGGGATGCTCTCATAAGTAATATCTCTGCGCAGCTCACAGTGAAGGCTTCTCAAAGCACTTCCATGCCTGCGAGCTCTGCTGGGCCTCACAAAAGCCCTGTGAGGTGGGCAGGGCAGGGGCCATTCCTGTTTTATCAAGGAGACCAAGACCTAGGGAAATTTACACGAAGCTAGAAAGTACCAAGCCAGGACAAGACTTGAGGTCTTCTGAGTTGGATCCAAAACTCTTCCCAAGATGCCCTGTGGCCTCAGCATCTTGCTCCGTCAGTCAATGGACCTTACCCTTGGGCCCTCAGGGTCTTGAAGGGAGGCTCTACCAGGACGCTGTGACTTCAGGCAGAGTGGCTGCATGACCTGTCACACCCCAGTCCTGGCACTGCCTTGGTCACTGGATGGAGGCCTGAGTCCTTGCCACAGGGCAGCACCTTATGGGGACAGTTGGGGGAGATGAAGGGTGAGGGATGGCTGAGGTGCTGGGGAGCTACGGTGAAGGCCCCAGGAACTATGCCCTGCAGGAGGAAATGCCAGGGATCATCTAGTTCCAGCTTCATTTATTTCCTAGTTGAAAAACTTCAGGCTCAGAGAAAAGTAAAGGATTCCTCAAAGTCCATAGTTAGTTTACCCCCATAGCAGGTGCTCAAAAATGTCTGTAAAGATGAGTGAACAGGTGACTGGTAAGGACTACAGCCTGCATCTTCTGACTTCAGGCCCACACTTCTGACCACATAGCCTTTCTCAGGTGGGAAATTCAGTGAGGAGGCTCTTTTATCCTGAAGGCAGAATGAAAGTAAGTGACCCCAGCTCAGAAACCAATGAGTATACATAAAGCACGGGAGGCCCTGCTGAGAAAAAGCGCCGAGGCAAAGGAGTGTCAGGCCTGGTCACTGCTAACAGTCTGGAGGAACTTCCTAGATGCCTCCTAAACCGGGTGACCCTTTCTTATTCAACACAACATGTTTTCTTAGCTCCTGACTTCCGCTGTGGTTTGTCAGTGCTCTCTTTTTAGCCTAAGACTAGTTAGCAAACAAGGTTGTCATTTCCTTATCATCAAGGCTTGTTCCTCATTGAGGGCTAGAAATCTCTTTCACATTTCAGATCGTGAAGGGTTCCTGAGAAAGCAGCGTGTCTCTGTCCCCTCTCTAGGAGCTCTTGGATGGATCTTGTGCTCTAGAGGGAACAATGGACCCCTGGCTTTGGTTACTTTACTTCCTGCCAGGTGAGTACTATGGGGAAACACTTGAGACCTCTGAATGAGGTTTGAGTTGGCCACAAGTAGAAGCGTTGCCTGGCAGCTCCCCCTCTGATGTTTCTCGATGGATTCACTTGCAAACCAACACGTAGGGCAGGACAAGAATGGAGGCCACGTTAGGTGCTGGGTGCCCTCCTCACTCCCTGCTAATGCCCCTTTCTCCACTCCAGACACTCTCCTGTTTTGGTCAGGTGTTAATTCCATCAACCAGGCCGGAGTGTAGTGGTGAGATCAGGGCTCACTGCAGTCTCAAACTCCTGGGCTCAAGTGATGCTTCCACCCCAGACTCTCTAGTAACTAGGATGACAGTTGCACGCCATCATGCTCAGATAATTTTTAATTATTTTGTACAGATGGGATCTTGCTGTGTTGCCCAGGATGGTCTTGAACTTGTGGCCTTAAGTGATCCTCCTTGCTCAGTTTCACAAAGTTCTGGGATTACAGGTGTGCCCCACTGTGCCCAGCCAGGTGTTAACTCTTAAGAGCTGAAGGTGTCATCTCTCCTAAACATCTTAGCCTATTAATATGGGTTCTTGAAGCAAATGCCTCCATACTTCTTTCTTCTTACCTCTACGCTCTTTCTGTAGATCTTTCTCAGTCCCCAATTTCCAGCTTTCAATCCTAAATGAAAACTCGGTAATCCATTCAGTGGCTCTAATCTATTTCCTGAATTCCATATCTCAATTTACAACTGTCCCCTGGGCAACCCCTACTTCAATATCCCACTGAGATGTGAAATGCAACCTGCCTAACCTTATCTCGAACTCCTTATTGATTACCATCCAAACCAGCTGTTTCACCTGTCTGAAGTATCTCTGATCATCAGCCACAAAATGCCAAAATGGCTACTTACCACCTCTTCTCGTTTATCCACATTCAGGCCTTGATCCAATCAATGGCCAAATCATGCAGTTTCTGGATCCATATCTACTGGGATAAGCAGCAGCAGCAATCGACACTAGGAAGGCAATAGAGGAAACGGACAGGAAAAGAACACACGATCCCCTCGTAACTATCTTTACCGCTTCCTCCAACTCAGGCTGCATGTAGCTCCAGATTAATTTTCCTAAATTTGACTTTTTAAAATTTTTTTTGGAAGTGTAAAAATATAAGATTTGGCATTTCATTTTAACTATACAATCAGCAAGAAGAAAAATCTAAACTAAGAGTTTAAGATAGTTTCCTATCTAAAGAGAATTTACAGAGTTTAAACATAGATAAGGTCAATTTTAGTAAAATCAATGAAGTCATAGTCATGGGTTAATTATCAAAAGGTTGGTAAGTAAATTCAATTTCCTATGACAAATAAAATGTATAACTTTAGTGAGCCAACGCAATTTCCTACAACAAACATTTGAATAAGACTTAAGGCTAACATAGTCTTGATGTTATAGGTTATAACCTTGGGAGATAAAAAATAAAACTGTCTTTAATCTTTCTTATCGAAATGAAATAGTAAATACCAGACTTACATTTTGAAATATGTTTTTTTAATTTTTTTATTTATATATATTTTATTGCAATTTAGGTTCTGGGGTACATATGAAGAACATGGTACATACATGGCAATGTGGTTTGCTGCCTCCATCCCCATCACCTATATCTGGCATTTCTCCCCATGTTATTCCTCCCCAGCCTCCCTACCCCCGGCTGTCACTCCCCTAGTCCCTCACAACAAACCTCAGTGTGTGATGCTCTCCCATGTCCATGTGTTCTCATTGTCCAACACCTGCCTAGGAGTGAAAACATATGGTGTTTGATTTTCTGTTCTTGTGTCAGTTTGCTGAGAATAATGGTTTCCAGGTTAATCCGTGTCCCTACAAAGGACACAAACTCATTGTTTTTATGGCTGAATAGTATTCCATGGTGTATATGTGCCACATTTTCCCTGTCCAGTCTATCATCGATGGGCATAAGACTTGGGTTGGTTCCAAGTCTTTGCTATTGTAAACAGTGCTGAAATGAACATTCATGTGCATGTGTCCTTATGAGAGAACGGTTTATAATCCTTTGGATATATACCCAGTAATGGGATTGCTGGGTCAAATGGTATTTCTATTTCTAGGTCCTTGAGGAGTCGTCACACTGTCTTCCATAATGGTTGAACTAATTTACACTCCTACCAACAGTGTAAAAGTGTTCCTATTTCTCCACATCATCTCCAACATCAGTTGTCTCCAGATTTTTTAATGATCGCCATTCTAACTGGCGTGAGATGATATCTCAATGTAGTTTTGATTTGAATTTCTCTAATGACCAGTGATGATGAGCATTTTTTCATGTTTGTTGGCCTCATATATGTCTACTTTTGAAAAGTGTCTGTTCCTATCCTTCACCCACTTTTGAATGGGTTTGTTTGTTTGTTTGTTTTCCCTGTAAATCTGTTTTAGTTCTTTGTAGATTCTGGATATAAGTCCTTTGTTAGATGGGTAGATTGCAAAATTTTTTCCCATTCTGTTTGTTGCTGGTTCACTCTAATGATTGTTTCTTTTGCTGTGCAGAAGCTGTGGAGTTTGATTAGGTCCCATTTGTCTATTTTGGCTTTTGTTGCCAATGCTTTTGGTGTTTTGGTCATGAAGTCCTTGCCTACTCCCATGTCCTGAATGGTTTTGCCTAGATTTCCTTCTAGGGTTTTTATGGTGCCAGGTCTTATGTTTAAGTCTTTAATCCATCTGGAGTTAATTTTAGTGTAAGGTGTCAGGAAGGGTCCAGTTTCTGCTTTCTGCACATGGCTAGCCAGTTTTCCCAACACCATTTATTAAACAGGGAATCCTTTCCCCATTGCTTGTTTTTGTCAGGTTTGTCAAAGATCAGATGGTTGTAGATGTGTGGTGTTGTCTCTGAGGTCTGTGTTCTGTTCCTTTGGTCTATATCTCTGTTTTTGTACCAGTACCATGCTGTTTTGATTACTGTAGCCTTGTAGTACAGTTTGAAGTCAGGTAGCATGCTGCCTCCTGCTTTGTTCTTTTTGCTTAGAATCGACTTGGCTATGTGGGCTCTCTTTTGGTTCCATATGAAGTCTAAGGTGGTTTTTCCCAGTTCTGTGAAAAAGGTCATTGGTAGCTTGATGGGGATAGTGTTGAATCTATAAATTACTTTGGGCAGTCTGGCCATTTTCACAATAGTTATTCTTCCTAACCATGAGCATTTAATGTTTTCCATCTGTTTGTGTCCTCTCTTATTTCGTTGAGCAGTGGTTTGTAGTTCTCTTTGAAAAGGTCCTTTCCGTTCCTTGTTAGTTGTATTCCTAGGCATTTTATTCTCTTTGTAGCAATTGTGAATGGCAGTTTGTTCTTGATTTGGCTCTCTTTAAGTCTGTTATTGGTGTTAGGAATGCTTGTGATTTTTGCAGATTGATTTTGTATCCTGAGACTTTGCTGAAGTTGCTTATCAGATTCAGGAGATTTTGGGCTGAGACGACTGGGTCTTCTAAATATACAATCATGTCGTCTGCAAATAGAGACAATTTGACTTCCTCCTTTTCTAACTGAATACCCTTTATTTCTTTTACTTGCCTGATTGCTCTGGCTAGAACTTCCAGTACCATATTGAATAGGAGTGGTAAGAGAGGGCATTCTTGTCTAGTGCCAGATTTCAAAGGGAATTCTTCCAGTTTTTGCCCATTCAGTATGATATTGGCTGTGGGTTTGTAGTAAATGGCTTTTATTATTTTGAGATATGTTCCATTGATACCTAGTTTATTGAGAGTTTTTAGCATAAAGGGCTGTTGAATTTTGTCGAAGGCCTTCTCTGCATCTATTGATAGAATCATCTGGTTTTTGTCTTTGTTTCTGTTTATGTGGTGAATTACGTTTATAGACTTGTGTATGTTGAACCAGCCTTGCATCCCTGGGATGAATCCTACTTGATCATGATGGATAAGCTTATTGATGTGCTATTGCAATAGTTTGCCAGTATTTTATTGAAGATTTTTGCATCTATGATCATCATGGATATTGGCCTGAAGTTTTCTTTTCTTCTTGAGTCTCTGCTGGGTTTTGGTATCACAATGATGTTGGTGTCATAAAATGATTTGGGGAGGATTCCCTCTTTTTGGATTGTTTGGAAAAGTTTCAGAAGTAATGGTACCAGCTCCTCTTTGTATGTCTGGTAGAATTTGGCTGTGAACCCATCTGGATCTGGGCTTTGGTTGGTAGGTTATTAATTGCTGCCTCAACTTTGGCCCTTGTTATTGGTCTATTCAGGGTTTTGACTTCTTCCTGGTTTAGGCTTGGGAGGCAAGTGTCCAGGAATTTATCCATTTCTTCCAGGTTTACTGGTTTATGTGCATAGAGCTGTATGTAGTAATCTCTGATGGTGGTTTGTATTTCTGTGGAATCTGTGGTGCTATCCCCTTTATCATTTTTTATTGCCTCTATTTGATTATTCTTTCTTTTTTATTAATCTGGCTAGTGTTCTGTCTATTTTGCTGATCTTTTCAAAAAACCAGCTCCTGGATTTATTGATTTTTTGAAGGGTTTTTTGTGTCTCTATCTCCTTCAGTTCTGCTCTGATCTTAGTTATTTCTTGTCTTCTGCTAGCTTTTGAGTTTGTTTTTATCTTGCTCCTCTAGCTCTTTCAATATTGATGACGGGGGTCAATTTTAGATCTTTCCTTGCTTCTCATGTAAAAGCATTTATTGCTATAAATTTTCCTCTAGACACTGCTTTAAATGTGTCCCAGAGATTCCGGTATGTTGTGTCTTCATTCTCGTTAGTTTCGAAGAACATCTTTATTTCTGTCTTCATTTCATTGTTTATCCAATCAACATTCAATAGCCAGTTGTTCATTTTCCATGAAATTGTGTGGTTCTGAGTTAGTTTCTGAATTCTGAGTTCTAATTTGATTGCACTGTGGTCTGAGAGACTCTTTGTTATGATTTTCATTTTTTGCATTTGCTAAGGAGTGATTTACTTCCAATTATGTGGTCAATTTTAGAGTAAGTGTGATGCGGTGCTGAGAAGAATGTATATTCTGTGGATTTGGGGTGGAGGGTTCTGTAAATGCTCCAGGTCTGAGTTCAAGCCCTGGATATCCTTGTTAATTTTCTGTCTCATTGATCTGTCTAATACTGAAAGTGGAGTGTTAAAGTCTCCCACTATTATTGTGTGGGAGTCTAAGTCTCTTTGTAGGTCATTAAGAACTTGCTTTATGTATCTGGGTGCTCCTGTATTGGTTGTGTATATATTTAGGATCGTTAGCTCTTCTTGTTGCATTGATCCTTTTACCATTATGTAATGCCCATTGTCTCTTTTGATCTTTGTTGGTTTAAAGTCTATTTTATCAGAGACTAGGATTGCAACTCCTGCTTTTTTTTTGCTCTCCATTTGCTTGGTAAATCTTCCTCTATCCCTTTATTTTGAGCCTATGTGTATCCTTGCATGTGAGATGAGTTTCCTTGATACAGCACACGGATGGATTTTGACTTTTTATCCAATTTCCCAGTCTGTGTCTTTTGATTGTGGCATTTAGCCATTTACATTTAAGGTTAATATTGTTACGTGTAAATTTGATCCTGCCATTTTGATGCTAGCTGGTTGTTTTGCCTGTTAGTTGATGCAGTTTCTTCATTGTGTCAATGCTGTTTACCATTTGGTATGTTTTGGAGTGGCTGGTACTGGTTGTTCCTTTCTATGTTTAGTGCTTCTTTCAGGAGCTCTTGTAAAGCAGGCCTGCTGGTGATGAAATCTCTGAGCAATTGCTTGTCCATAAAAAATTTTATTTCTACTTTGCTTATGAAGCTTAGTTTGGCTGGATATGAAATTATAGGTTGAAAATTCTTTTCTTTAAGGATGCTGAAGATCGCCCCCCACTCTCTTCTGGTTTGTAGGTTTCTGCCAAGAGATCTGCTGTGAGTCTGATGGTCTTCCCTTTGACGGTAACCCGACCTTTCGCTCTAGCTTCCCATAGCATTTTTTAATTCATTCCAACCCTGGTGAATCTGACAATTATGTGCTCTTCTTGGGGAATATCTTTGTGGTGTTCTCTGTATTTCCTGGACTTGAATATTGGCCTGCCTTGCTAGGTTGGGGAAGTTCTCCTGGATAATATCCTGAAGAGTGTTTTTCAACTTGGATTCATTCCCTCCATCACATTCAGGTACACCTATCAAACATAGATTAGGTCTTTTCACATAATCCCATATTTCTTAGGGGCTTTGTTCATTTCTTTTTACTCTTTTTTCTCTAATCTTGCCTTCTTGTTTTATTTCATTGAGTTCATCTTGAATCTAATATCCTGTCTTCTGCTTAGTCAATTCGGCTATTGAAATTTGTGTATGCTTTGTGAAGTTCTTGTGTTGTGTTTTTCAGCTCCATCAATTCATTTATATTCCTCTCTAAGCTGTTTATTCTCGTTAGTATTTCATCAAATCTTTTTTCAAGGTTCTTAGTTCCCCTGGCATATAAAACGTGGCCACAGGTAGCTATTTGGGAAGAAGGTGAGTGAAGACTGTACTTGCAAGCTGGGGTATCTACTATGTATATACCAGGACCCTTGTGCTGTGGGCAGGATGGAAAGAGAAGGAAGATGGGCAGAGGCTGGGGGCAGGAAGGTTAGGGTTGTTTTCCCTGCATGACCACGGTGTAGAGTGAATGTCCAAGGAGGGTGTGCATTTGTTGAGCTAGGGAAATAAAGCAAATTTTATTTAACAGTTCATTTATAACTTAAAAATATTCAGATATATAGTATCTGGGCCTTAATTTGTACTCTTACCCCAGATCCTGCAAATGCTGGGGTGGGCCTCCCAAGCGCCCAGTGCATGGGGCACAAACTGTAGATCACATTGCCCAGAGCCTTGTGTAGAATTCTATAATAAAGCAAAGCAGTGTCACACAGTGTGAGCTTTCAACCCCTTTCACCTTGACCATAATAATAATAATAATAATATGTACATTTGATGCTGGGACCTAGCATACACACACACGTGTGTGTGCATGCATAAATGTACAATTAAAATTTATTCTTGATTCTTTGACATGAGGATGAGTTCTAGGCTTCAGCAGCTGGGTGGATGATGAGGTCTTTGGAAGAGCATGTGAAGGAACAGATTTTGGAAGAGAAATCAATTCTTTTTCGGCTGTTGTTAAGTTTGGCATATATCTTTCACATTCAATTAGGGTCTGAGGGAAGATGTCAGAGGCAAGTCTGGAGCTCAGAGGTAAGACTGGAGATCACATTTTGGTGAACTCTATAGCATTGTCCTTAGAAACCATGGGAGTCAATGAGCAAGTGAAGGAAGAAAGGGAGGAAGGACAGAGAAAAGAACAAGTTCAAGGAACTGGCCCTGGGCCAGCCCAGCATGGAGAGATGGGTGAGAAGGAGACTAAAACGGGAGGCTGCCAGGGAGCCACCTTTGAGGGTATGTAGTGGGGAAGCCACGGCAAGGATGTGTTTCCAGGTGGGCTGGCTCCATTTGTCAACTCCTGCTGAGAGGGTGAGGGGAAATGAAGACAAAGAAATGACCACTGGCAACAGGAAAACTTCAGTGACTTGACAAGAGCAGTTTCAGTGGAACACTGGACATGAAATTCTAATAGGAGTGGTTTGAAGAGAAATTAGGAGGTATGGAAGAGAATCCGATTTAGCAAATTTGATGACTGGTTTAGAAAGAAAATAGAGAGATGTGTTGGCAGGTGAAGGGGAGGCGAAGGTCAACTGAGGCGTTTTTTAAGATGGGCAAAGCCAGTCACGGTGGCTCATGCCTATAATCCCGACACTTTAGGAGGATGAGATGGGTGGATCATTTGATCCTGGGGTTCAAGACCAGCCTGGGCAACATAGTGAAAGCCCAACTCTACAAAAAAAAAAAAAAAATAGCCAGGTGTGGTGTTGCATGTCTATAATCCCAGCTACTCAGGAGGCTGAAGTGGGAAGCTCAATTGAGCCCAGGAGGTGGAGGCTGCAGTGAGCCAAGACTGCACCACTGCACTCCAGCCTGGGTGACAGAGAGAGACCCTGTCTTAGAAAAAAGAAGAAAAGACGGGCAATCGCTATGGCGATGCTAGAAGAGAAGGCCATTTTTCTCCAATAGTCAGAGAAAGAAATGAGATCATTGCAAACAAGAAGTTCTAAAACAGGTGAGCATGATGGACTCAGGATACAGGTGGAGGGGTGGCCTTTGAAAGGAGGGGGACACTTCATTCACTGTGACAGGCAGCAGGTCTGGACACACCCAGGTTACCATATTTGGAAACAAGAAGCTGAATGGGAGGGACGTTTCTCATCCTTTAAAAAAAATCCATGCCATTTTTGACAAACATAAAAATCAGAGGCCAGCTCTCCTCTTCCTGAGATCTGCTCTGATTTGAGTTGACCAGGTCCTCATCTGAACTTCCACCTGGAAAATCACTGCTAAGTGGGCGCCAGAGTCCCTTTTCAGAGCTCCCCAGCCACCAAGGCCCTGTGGACCTTGACCTTATTTTGTATGATAAAAATTACAGTTTTTTCCCCATTTTCCAATCATGTATCTACATGATTGAGATACATTTTGAGAGTGATTATTTAAGCCACATATCTCCCTCTTCTCTGAAAATCAAGTCACCAATTTAGAGCTTAATGTCACTTACTCAGCAGCCTCTGAAAAGCAGTAGTACTACTGAACAGGTTGTTTCCTTTCTACGCCTTTTCCCATCCCTCTCTTTCTTCCCCAGAATCGTTTGTAAATGTAGTTATATAGCCCAGGATTATAGTAATGCAAGGGCACCTGGGACACTCGTTTAAAAACATATTTCTGGGGCCAGGCACAGTGGCTCAAGCCTGTAATCCCAGCACTTTGGGAGGCCGAGGCGGGTGGATCACGAGGTCAAGAGATCGAGATCATCCCGGTCAACATGGTGAAACTCCGTCTCTACTAAAAATACAAAAAATTAGCTGGGCATGGTGGTGCGTGCCTGTAGTCCCAGCTACTCAGGAGGCTGAGGTAGGAGAATTGCCTGAACCCAAGAGGCGGAGGTTGCGGTGAGCCGAGATCACCCCATTGCACTCCAGCCTGGGTAAAAAGAGCGAAAACTCTGTCTCAAAAAAAAAAAAAAAAAAAAAAACATATTTCTAGACCATGCCCTGGACAGATGTAATTGCCATTTCTAAGCACAGGACCAGGTCATGGGCATCACGGCCATTCTCCTCAGATGAGTCTCAGGCACACTGTGCTATTTCAGATGTCTAAACCAATAGCTTATATCTATCTTTTCTGTTTTAAAAATCTGCTTTACTAAGACTTGGGAATAGGTTAGAAGCTACCATGAACTTGAGGAAACTAGTTACTTTTTCCTGGGGTCTGGTCATTTGTACCTCGCCAATTACTGCTTCCTCACGGACCAGAGCTCAGCACAGCCAGCAGCTTTCCTTGTGCTTCATCCATCCGGGGTCTGCACAATGAGGAGTTGAAAGGGCAGACCAGGGATTTACCGAAAGCTCAACCCTGGGCCCCTGAGGCTGCTGGAGGTTGCTACATAGGTGAGGACTCCATCTCTGCTATCTTCCCCCTGCCCATTTTCTACCATCTTGCTCTTGGGAAAGTGGAATTAACACCCTCTTCCTGACTGAGTTAGTCTCATTCAAACACTTCTGCGTGCTTCCACCCTCAGCGCTCAGCTTCCCACACAGGTGGGGGCTGTCTGGATGCACAAGGTGATTCCTCCAGACCTTCCTTGGATTGGGTCTTTGCCTGTTAATTGGCACTTTGTGACAGGTCACCTTCCCATTGCAATGTCTAGTTGTGAGGCTACCTCATGACTCAATTTCCAGTGGGTTTAAAACAGTGCCGGGTTTTTCATATGAGGGTTCCTATGTCAGAGCTCTTGCTGGTCCATCTACCTGTCCCTACCATGTTCGCATCAGCTAAACTTTTAGATCTCAACATGCTCCTTTACGTACTCCCTCTGCAGCCCGCCCACACTCCCTGACCCTCTTTTCTGCTCCCATTATTGTTTTGATCTCTTTACCATTGCCAGAATTCTTCCCTTTGTCCAGAATGTCTTTATCCCAAAGCCTCAAGCCCCACCTCTTTCCTAAGCTTTCCCTGACTCTTGTTTGTCTAAACGCCCTAGTGCGCTTCTTAATGTGTGCCCTGTGGATAAATCTCAGTAAGTCTGCAAATTTCTCTCAGCTCATTGACATGCTATGTTCTCTACATCCTGGCCTTTTGAGGGACTGTTCTGGCTGTCTGGAAGACTCTCTTCTCCTCCTCCACTTCAGCCTTCCAGCGTCACTTCACCACACACACACTTTACCCTATGAACTTTCTTCCCAGAAATATGCACACATTTATGAGGATCCACTTAGTTGGCAATTAATCAGACATGGCCTTACATTAACCTCTTCTGTAGCTGGCTCAAGTGCATTAGACCTGACCTCTGTCACTCAAAGCATAAGCTTTATGATGTCATGGACTCATGAACCACATCTTTTATCCCTCCCCAGCACACATACAGTGTGTGCACACCTATGCATACATGTACACACACCCATACACACCCTGACTTCCCTTCCTATGTCCCCTGCCTCCATAGTGAGCGTTTCTCTCTCAGTTGTCCTCTATACCCATTCCTTCAGGTCACAACTCAGACATTGCTTATTCCAGAAAGTCTTCCTCTGCCCACGCCAGCACCTGCAATAGCCTAGCTCAGGTGCCCATGTTCGCTCCTTCCAGGGAACCCTGTGCAATCTGTCATGGGATGTATTATACTGCTCAGTGGGTTTTGATTGGTATCACTCACCAAATGATTTGTGCCTGAGGGAGGGATGCTGGCTGGCTTGCTGTCACAGGACAGGCATTCGGTAAACCCTTGTTGAATGATTTAATAAAGAGAGCTGTGGATGAGTGGCTGGATGGATGCACCTAAGTGAAACAAAACTGGAAAGGAAAACCTGTTGCGACATACCCGCACCATGCTCCCAGCACCGCGCTGAGGTCACATGGAGGCTATATGTTGTTTGAGGTCATCTGACACATATTATGTCTCCTTGGAGTGGGTGATATAGTTTTGATCATCATCTCAAGGGTTTGGTGTGTGGGTCCTTATGGGTTTGGGTTTGGTGGTGAGGCTGAAGCTGGGGGTTAACTTAAGGCAAGTCTCAGGCATAGGGATAGGGATGAACATAGAGCTGGCCTAACGTTGTGAATAGGGTTGCGGATGGAAAAAGGCTGAAGTTGAGACTAAGGGTAGAAATGAGAATAAGGGCAGGGCACGGTGGCTCAACTCCAGCATTTTGGTAGGCCAAGGCAGGAAGATCACTTGAGGCCAGGAGTTTGAGACCAGCTTGGTCAACATAGTGAAAACCCCATCTCTACAACAAAGACAAAGATTAGCCAGGCATGGTGGCATGCACTTGCAGTCCTAGCTACTTGGGAGGCTGAGATGGGAGGATTGCTTGAGCCCAGGAGGTTGAGGGCATAGTGAATCATGATCACACCACTGCTCTCCAGCCTGGGTGACAGAGAAGGAAGGAAGGAAGGAAGGAAGGAAGGAAGGAAGGAAGGAAGGAAGGAAGGAAGGAAGGAAGGAGGAAGAGGAGGAGGGAGAGAGGGAGGGAGGGAAGGAAAGAAGGAAGAGAGGGAGGGAGGGAGGAAGGGAGAGAGGGAGAAAAGAAATGAGAATTGGGCTGTGGCTAAGGACAGGCTGAGGCCGAGCTAATAATGGGGACAGGGCTGGATCTGGGGTTGAATGTTAGGTTGGGCTGGGGCCTGGGCTAGGGTTGGAGAGAGGACTGGGGCTGGGAAGTGAATGGGGCTGGGATATAGCTAGAGATGGGGCTCCCTCTGCATTAATCTCTTCTCCCTGCAGTATCAGGGGCTCTGAGGATCCTCCCAGAAGTAAAGGTAGAGGGGGAGCTGGGCGGATCAGTTACCATCACGTGCCCACTTCCTGAAACGCATGTGAGGATGTATCTGTGCCGGGAGATGGCTGAATCTAGAGCATGTGCTACTGTGGTATCCACCAACAACTTCATCAAGAATGAATACAAGGGCCGAGTCACTCTGACGCAATACCCACACAAGAATCTGTTCCTAGTGAAGGTAACAGAACTGGCCGAAAGTGACAGCGGCGTCTACGCCTGTGGAGCGGGCATAAACACAGACAGAGGAAAGACCCAGAAAGTCACCCTGATTGTCCGCAGTGGTAGGTTCCTCTGCTGATTGGAGGCTCAGCCTACCCAGAAAATGTTTCCACTTGGGAAGATCAGGACAGCCATCTAACTGTCACAGTCCCCAGACTATCACACTGTTGCCATATAAGCCACATAATGATTCAGATCCATATGAAACCACAAAGTCAATTAACTTCATGGTCCATAGAATTTTCTACCCATCATGGATGAAAGGAACAAGACAGGTGCTCTCTTTCTATTTTCCATCCTACCCAGGGCATGGGGGTAGTGAGGGCTTGAGATTGAGGAGAGGCTCTGAGATGGAGGAAATTGGGAGCAAAAGGAAATAACTATCCTACATAACATTCCATGAGAAATAAAGGAAAGACCCTAATTTATCAAGCCACGTTTACAGGCCAATCTTATTACTCTATGACCTGATCCTTTATTTCTCTGGAATCCCGCCTTTCTCCTTTCCTCCACTGAGTTCCCCACACATACACAGCACTAACTCGACAGCCTAGAAGACCTCTGCCGATTTTCCAGGAAATGTTGACTGGGCTGGGGGAACCAGTATTTCCTCCAGGGAAGCCCCAAACCCTGCTCTTCTGCTGCTCCTTTCTGTGGACCCTGCCCTCATCCCCACACTGTCATCCACTTTAACTATATTAGCTTCAGCTTATGCCAACCGGCCCTTCCCCAAGCCTCAGTCTCCCTCCAGAGACCACCAACATATTCCTCTTCCCTCCAATAGAATACCAGCCATTATGGAAAGAGCAACCAGCGTCTGAGACTCCAAATTGGTTTCATGTGCCCTATTTGTTCCAGATGCCTGCACATGCCAGTTCTTCCAAATCCGTACCCAGAGGTCAGTTCACCGTAGCGATGGGGGGTGGGGGAAGATACTGTGACAGTGTGAAAATGGAGTAGGGGGTCTATGTTAAGTTCATAGAGTGACTGGCAGAGCTGAGCTAAGTCTTAGGTGTATATTCTCTGCCTTTAGAGAGGGTACCTACCTCCCTGAGATCTGCGGTCCCTATTCTTCAAGCCTGTCAGCCAGCCAGGACGCATGGTCTTAGCTGCAGAACTTACATATTACCACCAGGTGGCATCACAAGCAATGACGTTTGTGCTCCACTCACAAAATCTAGCTCTTTTATGAATGACTGCAGAAAAAAAGACTGGGCAGACATTTCCCAGCTGGAGATCATCATGTCTCGTGCTTCCTGCAGGGCTGTCTTCTACCTGCTGGCATCTAATGATTTTAGCTCTATTTTGCAACTAAAAGATTAATGATGTTCATACTAATGATGCCTTTACCTTTCAATATCATCGTCCAGTTTTAAATGCATTCTGACATGCAATATTTCCATCATATTATCCCATATGCCTGTGAGGTGAACACATTAATTAAACATTATTACACTAGGTGACCCTGCTGAGAGCCAAGAGGGATAGTGTAACTGAACAGATTATATAGCCAAGGTTGTGACTGATAGGGGTGAGATGGGGGAGAATAGATTAGCACACAAATACAGCACAAGGCAGGGTAGGAAAAGGACTACAAAAAAGGTTTTCCCCCTGCTCAGAGGTGGGTAAGCTCTTCTACCTGGGAAGTCAGAGAAGGCTTCCTGGAAGAAATGGTATTTGAAGCAAATATACTTGGAATTGACTAGGTCTAGATGGCATGTTAAGAAGGCATTTTAGCCCATGAGGATGCAAGAACAACAGTAGCCTGCACAGAAGGGAAGGGTACGTTGTGGGAAGAGGTGGTGACCTAATCCCGTTGGAGAACAGTGTATAAAAGGAATATCACTTTTTCCTGCTACCTCCTCCAGTTACCATACCAGTTCAAAGGACCAAGGTCCCTCCAGTCCACCACCCCTCCCTCACCACCCAAATCATCCACCGTCCTCGAGTGTCCAGAGCATCTTCAGTAGTAGCTGACAAGCCCCCAACCCTCCTTCCATCCACTACTGCCTCAGAGATCTCAGCTCCGGGGGTGCTACTCAAGCCTCGGACAGCCAGCCACAACCACCACACCAGGCTGCACAGGCAGAGGTAAGAGACCACTGGCCAGGGTCTAGAATTAGGCTAGAATTAGGAGATCCACGGAAATCCACTGCAATGCCCACTATTAGAGACCCTCCTTGGCCTTGTCTCTAGGCCACTGTGAAATATACCATCTAGGAGTATAGCTCATTAACTCATTAGTTCCTTTAACAAGAATACACTTGTCAATGGCCCAGCATTGATCCTGTAGAAAGAAGTGGGACCTAGCTCTTCCAGTCACTCTGATCATTCAAATCTATTTTGATGAGGAAGAACTAATGAGAATAAAAATAAAATTAACTATTAAACTAGTAATATTAAAATTGCTTTCACCCATTTCCTTTTACTGTTTAATGTGGCTACTAGGAAATTTAAGATTACATATGTGACTCTGACTCACGTATCTATTGGTTAGCTCCGGTTTAGACTGGGCTTCAGTCCAGGGCAGCACTGCGATATACCACTAGGGGGAAGCATTATAGCAGACTCCAAAGGGAAAAAAACCCCTATAATAATCAAAATTGTTTTTCCATAAGCAAAGACAAAGGTGGAGGGGACCTCCAAAATCATTTGGGTTCATGAATGATTTGGGTTCATGGCCCCAGTTTCTCCTGGGGCCATCAGAGCCAAGTGGATTCAAATAGTATCAGGACTTCTGATTTCTAGTTCAACAGAACCAGGGCTCCCGATTCCGGACCTATTAGTAGAGAATACATTAGGCCGGGCGCGGTGGCTCAAGCTTGTAATCCCAGCACTTTGGGAGGCCGAGGCGGGTGGATCAGGAGGTCAAGATATCAAGACCATCCTGGTCAACATGATGAAACTCCGTCCCTACTAAAAATACAAAAAATTAGCTGGGCACGGTGGCGCGTGCCTGTAATCCCAGCTACTCAGGAAGCTGAGGCAGGAGAATTGCCTGAACCCAGGAGGCAGAGGTTGCGGTGAGCCGAGATCACGCCATTGCACTCCAGCCTGGGTAACAAGAGCGAAACTCCGTCTCAAAAAAAAAAAAAATACATCAACTCCAACCAGCATTTTCTTACTCTCTACTATATGGCAGGCATTGTACTATGTTCTGAAGATGTGAAAAGATGGCACTAGGCAACATCCAGGTCTTACTAGCATAAGTCTGACTGTGATAAAGTCGGAAACAGTCATGAACACAGGAATTAGAAACCCAAGCGCGCGCACACACGCACACACACACACACACACACACACGATTCTGGCTTACTGTAATTAGGAATAAAAGAGGACTTACACGATGTCCCTTTAAGAGAAGTAAGATTTCAATATGCAGAGAAAATTGAAGGTAGAACTTCCAGGCAGAAGGAGCACTATAAGAAAAGCATCCTTTTCCCCACCATTATAAGGAACTAGCCGAGTCAATATTTGCAATAATCTCATAAAGAAACTGAGGTGCAAAACATTGGAAGGTGTGTTAAATTCTTTACATCCACTCTTATTTCATCCTTATAGCAGTTCTGCGAAATACATTTTACTATACCCGTTTATGGAGAGATAAGGCTCAGAGAGGTTAGGAGACTCGTTCAAGATCACACAGGCGGTAAAAGGCAGAATCTGAATTTGAACTCGAGTTTCGTGGCTTCATAGGCAAGTCTTTTTGAGCGGGGAAGTGGAGTGAATTCTATTAACAAAGGGACAAACCTGTAAGTCCTCTCCGAAAACGTTGTCCACACAGGAGCACGCCCTCAACCTACTTCCTTTAATAATCTCTTCCTCTCTCTCTCCCTTTCCTTCCCTCCCCAGAGCACTGGACTATGGCTCACAGTCTGGGAGGGAAGGCCAAGGATTTCACATCCTCATCCCGACCGTCCTGGGCCTTTTCCTGCTGGCACTTCTGGGGCTGATGGTGAAAAGGGCTGTTCAAAGGAGGAAAGGTGAGCGGCTGGGCGGGGGGCTTGGGTAGGGAGAGCTGAACTGCCCAAAGAGCCCAGAGAGTTCAGAACCCCCTTAGAACCTCCAGGGGAAACTCAGGGAGCTTTCGGTGAGCAGCCTGGGGTGCAGGGAAGTGGGGGTCACTGGTCTTCTGGGCAGGGCAAGGCGGTGCCTCGTACATTTCGCACGCTTGGAACACCTCCAGGTCAGACACTGCCAAGTCCTGGAGAGGAGGCAGCCTTTAGTTTGGGGAGGGTGGCACGGGCCTCTGATGCCATTTTTCTTCCTCTTCCTGCGGCTTTGCGGGGAAGCCCTCTCCAGGCGGGCCCGTCGACTGGCCGTGAGGATGCGTGCCATGGAGAGCTCCCAGCCGCCCCGCGGGTCTCAGCAAAAGCGCTCCCAAAACATCTACAGCGCCTGCCCGCGGCGGGCTCGCGGGGCGGACGCTGCAGGTGAGCGGCCGGGAACGCCACGGGGAGTAGCGGAAAGAGAGCGCTGTCTCCGGGAAAGCCGGGTGCGGCGGGGAGCCCTCCTAGGTCCCAGGGCTTCCCGTAGGGTGGGGCTGGGGAGTTGGGGGGGGAGACGGGCGGGGGTGGGGGGAGAGGGCGGGGGAGACGGGCGGGGGGGGGTGGGGGTGGGGGGAGAGGGCGGGGGTCGGGGGAGTGAGGCTGGGAGTGGGGGGGCGGGGCGGGGAGTCGGGGTACGAGGCGGGGTGGCGAGGCCGGGGGGCGTGGGGGCGGGGGACTGTGGTTGGAGAGTGGGGCTGGAGCCTGGGCCACCGCTTCACCCCGCCCTCGCTGTTCCCTAGGCAATGGGGAGACCCCCGTTCCAGGTTCTAGGGCGCCGTCGTCCCCCGCTCTGCTGCAGGTAAGCTCCGCTCCGGCCCTGATTGGCAGCCGCGGCCCGACTGGGCAGCCCCAGCCCTGGGCGGGACCCGAATGCAGCTCCCTGCGCTGCCGCAGTGATCTAGAAAGCGGGTTTCCCAGCAGCTCCTGGGCCCTGAGCCGAGGAACAAGTTGTTTCAGTTTCCTCCTTCTTCGGTGTCAGGAGGTCGAATACCGGAACTGTGTAGACTTGGTTCAATGGCCTCTAGCCAAGCAGTTCTCAAGGGATACGTGCCTGCTGGACGCTGCTGGCTTAGCAGGAATGATAGGTGGCAGTTACACAGTTGCGTGAATGGCTTTCTGGTGTTGGAGATTCGGTTTCTAGGAGGTCCTAGGGAGGTGGAAGCTACCCAATTTCACCTTCCTGTTCGCTAGAACTTTCTGGTAAGCTCTCGAAGGTGAGAGGAGGTAGTTTACCCTTCACTGGAGGAGGTTAGGCCTGGTCTAGAGGATGACTTAGGAGAGATGTAGACAGGATTCAACACCTTGAGTGAGGAGGATTCAGCTTTAAATCCAGAGTGGACGGAGGGAAATCGAGTTTCCATTTATGGCCACCGATGGATGGTTGGATAGAGAGCCTTCATTCATCTTTAAGAATTGAGATGAGAAAGCTTTTTATTCTCTAAAATAGCCTACAGTGTCCAAAACAGGCAGAACCCAGAATTTTAAAAAAATTTAAAGGGTATGGTAAAAATTCCTAGGTTTTTTTGTTTTGTTTTGTTTTTTTCTTTAAAAGTGATTTATTTGATTCTGATTGCAAAATACAGGTGAGGAGCACGGGCAATGCCTGTAACCCCTTGGTTGCCCATCTTCCCACTCTATGCTCCTATAAATACCCTTTGTACAACAGCAAGCTTATGCTGTCCTCAAGCGCTTGCACATTCTAATAGCTGCAGAGTGAGTGTGGTATAGGACCAGGTGGAAAGTTAAACAGATGCCCCGCTCACAAGGTAGGGCCCCTCCAATTAGTCTTCCTACTACTCCCTTTTGCTAATAGTAACTGCTTGCTCTTCCTATTGGTCATAGATAATTACACCTGCACAATTCTCTGAGTGCTTTCAAGTAATCTCAGAAGGCAGTGACTAAGAACCTTTCCTTGCTCCCAGCTTCCTATGTCCCAGGCTGCCTGTGGCACCCGGACTGCTGCTGCCTCTGGGTCCCGCACATTCCAGGGTGAGGATGGAGGAAGCATGAGGAATTAACAATCTTTACCAGGCTCAGACCAGGAGTCCGTGGGTCTTGAGGACCTCTATTTGTCAGTTTTCTCCTCCACGTTCTTCTCAGCCTGTTTCCGTAGTCTCATGAGCTGTTTCTTCTTCTGGTAGGGGATCTTGGCCTTCTCCTTCCTCTTTTCCTCCACGGTGGCTGTCACTGCCTGGTACTTCCAGCCAACCTCGTGAGCCAAGTGCACCAGATAGGCAAACTATCTTGTAGGCTTCAGACTCACGGCCTTGAGGGCAGCAAGAACCACCGCCCGATTTTTCTAGTCGTAGGGTGTTGGGATGCCGTCAAACACGTTGGGGCGCTCCAGGGCAGCCTGGCCTCACTTGGCCCTGCGGGGTTGCATGCCTCACACGGTCCGCCGGAAGATGCCGCTGGGGGCCCGGAAGTGGTGGGGGCCCGGAAGTGGCGGGGGCCCGGAAGTGGTAGGGGGCCCCAAAGTGGTAGGGGGCCTAGGGAAGAGTTGGTGTTCATCCGCTTGGAAAGGAAAGCCAGTACTTCAACGTGTTTCTGTAGAAATTGCCAGAAATGTTGATGCCCTCGCAGTGGATGACCACCACCTTCCAGTCCGGCAGTACCTGCTTAGCCATGATGGCCGCCAGGCGGCCGAGGACATGGCCTCGACCATTGAGCACCTGCACCTCCGCCATCTTGGGCAGCCATCTGGGAAGAGAAAATCCCTGTTTTGAGTGATTAAGTTAATGCAGCCGACTCCAAAAGACAAGGCTCATGCAGTGGAAGCCTACTTCCCTCTCCTCAAGTAAAGGCTCAGAGGCACAGGGACAGGAAGAGGTGGCCTGAGCCCGTGAGTCAAGAGGTCGTCTCCGGACTGAAGTTCCCTCCGCCTGTTTGCTGTACGGTCCTTTGGAGTCTTGCCTGCTTTGTGGTCAGTACTCAGGCACCAGGACCGTGTGCACACCCCTGCTCACAGGAGGGAGGAAGAGAATGCTGCTTCTTAAGCCCATGACCCTGACGTTTCCCACCATTTCCACTTGCATCCTACAGTCTGAAACTTAACTTTCCCTTGAAGGGAAGTGACCCTCCCTTCAAGGGAGGCTGAGAAATGTCATCCCCAGCTGATCAATAGTGAGCCTGGCTAAAAAGGGAAGAGTGGTACCCAGCAACAAGAGGCAGTTCTGCGCAGTCCCCTCTGGCTTCTCTGACTGGCCCTTTCCCTCCCCGCTAGAGAAGGTTCGCACCTGCGTGGCAGTGGTGCAACACTGTCTGACCACTCTGTCTTTCCAGCAGCCTTTTTCTCTGAAACTGCCCTGTGACCACACAGACCCTCACCTGGGCCTGCACCTTGCTCCAAGCTGACCCTGCCTTTCTACTTGAAACTCTCATTCCCGCTATTAGGGGCAAAAAACTTGATGGAACAAATTTATAACAAGGTGCCTAAGCTTAATGACTCATTATTATAGTCTCCACGGGGAGTATTTCCATTTCTTAAGCCAAATAAGTTCATCTCAAATGATGAACTATAACAAGCAGTGAAAGATAAATTTTTGTTTATTTTTTAACAAATATAAAACTTTATTATCAAAGAAAGTTAGTTAAAACATAATCAAAGATAGTGTGAAAAAGATATGTACCTTGATATTTCTCTTTTCTCTGTGTCACCCTCAACTTCGTGCATCATTTCTCCTATTGTTATGTGCTGGTTAATTTGCTTCAGGTTGACATCTTGAGCTGTTCTGGGATCCAGGTCTTTCTTGACTAGTCTTACATCATCTAAGGGGAGTGCTACCCACATGTGCTTATTGCTGTCTTTCATTGTTTACTTGATTGAGTTTCATCCTCACTGACATTTATACCAGGACCATCCAATTTTCTTTCTTAGTTTTCTTTGCTCTCATTGTTACTTCTCTTTTCCACCTTCTCTTTTTTGTTTCTTTTCTGTTTTGTGGCTTCTTATTTCCTTGACTGATGGAAGACATCTTTTCAAAGCAAGCTGCTGCTGCTTCCCTCTTTAGTAAAGTACAAAATATATAAAAGTTCCTTTCAATGAGTACTTATGGAATGCCTACTGTGTTCAGGCTGCTGGTCATCTAGTTCTCAGAGCTTGTGTTTAAATACATAACCATCCCCCTCATGGCCTTCTTCTTTGGCACAGTCCTGTCTTCTGAGAACTGACCATCCTCAAGGTGGATGATCCTGAAGTTTCCTTCTTGGGAAGAGGAGCACCAGTGTGCCTTGTGGGCTGCCATCTAATCCCCTTCATCACCCATCCCCTTCCTGGAAGGCACTGTCACAATGCCACATCACAGCATCTCTGAGCCTTACGATGGTGCAGAGGGTGACTCACTCTACTTCTGAATAACTCCCTAAGAAGATGCATATTTATTCCACAAGTCACAGCATCTTATCCCCCAGGGAATACTCCTGTGGCAGCTGGGTCTCTTTCAGGCCCATGCTTAGCCACATGATTTTACTCTGAGCCCCATTTAAGGTATTTCCTGCCTACATTAGGTCTCAGTGATTTCCAGTTACCTCGGGCGTTGCACCAGCATGAAAATCCCCAGGGTTACCCCACTTGATGGAACTGAGTCGCCTCTGTGTCTTTGCCTTCTAGAACTCAGCAGCCATGTCCATGCCCCATTGTCTGCTATGAAAATCCACCTGGGGAGATACTAAAATCACCCTACCCAGATCCAGTGATGCTTCTTTCATTGTCCCCAGGTGTCTGAATCACCCTGGCTCCATACCCCATCTCTGAAGACCAGCTGTGAATACGCAAGCCTTTACTTCCAGCCTACCGCCAAGATGGAGGACAGTGATTCAAACGACTACATCAATGTTCCTGCCTGACAACTCCCCAGCTGTGCCCCTACCCCAGGCCCAGACTGTGGTGCCAAGGAGTCTCCTCTGTCCCCTGATATCCAATACCTGCTTCATGTGTTCTCAGAGCCATCATCACTTCCTATGCCCCATCTCAAATCCCATCCCCTTCTATCTGTGCCCTGAGTGTGGCTCCGCCCCCAAGTCCTCTTGCACACCTTGGCAGCCTCCTGTAGTCAACAGGTAAGGTCTAGGCATACAGAGCAGTTGTCCCAATGCTACTTTCTTCCTTTTTAAGCTATCTAACAGGATGTGGGATTTGCAGAGTGTTTCTTCAATGTCTCACCACAGGGTTGTTGCTGCCTAGGCTCTAGATCACATGGCATCAGGCTGGGGCAGAGGCAGAGCTATTCTCAGGCATCCTTCCCAGGTTTGGGTCTTACACAAATAGAAGTCTCATTTTCTGAGTTATGTGGGTAAGCCTCAGCCCCATGGACTAGGCAGGGGTCTAGTATGAAAACACTCCCAGATACGGCTTTGCTCTGATCCAAAAGTTGGCACCTGCTAGTGAACATCTACTTATCTCAAGTTATATGCTAAGGGCAATTTATCTTGGTGTGATGATGTATTCTAAATTTTCAGAACCGAGCTTGTTAGTGAGATTTGCATATAAAAGAAGTCTTTGTCGTCTCTTTATCTTTCTTCCATAGCCTGATGCTGATATTTGTGCACTTAACTTTGGTCTATTTTAGTCATTCAAAACTATTATATTTCTCAACTTTCACAAATGTTCCTCATTTCTTTGCCAGTTCCAGACAACATATAGCAAGGTGGGGAAGGAAAGCAGTCAGGAGTTCCTGGGTGGCCAGGGCTCTGCAGTAGCACTTATGTCATGGAAGAAGAGATATGCCACCTCCTACGTATACGTTTTGTCTAAGTTTTTGGAACAAGGTCATAGTCAGAAGTTAGATCTTCAGATTGATACCGACCACAAAGCTCAACCAGAGCTTGAGGCTGGATACCCAGCCTTGCTTTTGGGAAGAAGGCCTTTTCTGGCTATACAACACAGTCTTGCTGGGCAGGCATCCAGAAATAGAAAAGAAAGGCTGCCATCTTTGAGTTGTGTTGTCATTTATTAGCAGGGAGTTTCATCACGGATTGGACAGTACATCCAGGTGCAATGTCATCATCAGCAGGTCAGCTTGACACTCAAGTGGCAGCTTAGGGAAGAATGACTAGGATTAAAAAAAAAGGAGGGCATCAAGGGAAAGGGATGATGGGGTAAGCTGTTGAGTGTGGGTGGGAAATGAAATGTTAGTGAGCATCTGCTTCATGCTGGGCACTTTAATCCACGTTTTATCTTTTATCACTTACTTCTCAAACTGATGTCTCTTCCCCTCACCCCCATGCCCACCAATGCTCTGTCCCTGCAGATATCAGAAGACAGTGTGATTTCCATTCTCCAAAGTTCAGTTTTGCATCCCAGCATCCATCTCTGTTTTTCAATAATCCAAAGACAGGCAAAAAAAAAAAAGTAAAACCACAGTTTATTAAGTACTTAGTGAGCACCCCTCCACTGCCCCACACTGTGGCAAGGATTGCGAGGGGTGAAGGAGGAGCATGGGGCACAGTATTCTGCTGTCTTCACGGAACTTAGAGTCTCACAAATAAATAGAGCATCAGTTGAAATACTGACATTAAATAAATAGGGTTGTATAAATACGGGAATCTTCTCTGTAGACTCCACAGCATCCGGAGGCACCTTCCCTGACTCTCACTGGGGCTGCTTGAAGGATGACTTCTTTGATAATATTCCTGGGCCAAAAGTGGGGCCCAAGGCCAAGGGTGTCAAGTGTCCAGCGAACAGCATAGGAAGGGATTCTGTTTGAAATGACACAAGTAATGGTCTCGTGGAGGTGGGAGGGAGTCCTGGTCTAGACATTCAGAACTTGTAGAATTTCTGCATCCAGGTCAGAAGAACATCCACTTCCCCAAGGGCTTTGGTCAGAGCTGCTTCCATGTCCAACTAAAGGGAAAGGAGGGTTGAAGGTCAGGCATGTTAGCTGTGAGAATAGTCTTTCTTCCAACCTGCCATGCCTGAAACAGACCTGACTCCAATCCATGGGATGGGTCAGTTTTGGGTGACCTCTGATGAGCTCACCTGCCTGTTGCTTTTCCTCCATCTACATGTGTTTGTCTGCTTCAGGGGTGAGGACAAACAGGACAGTGAGTAATTGTGGGCAAAGAACAAGGGGAAAGCATATGGCACCCTGAATAACAGGAACCATAGACTCCAGTATGGGGTGGATGTGGCCCACCACCTGAATCCACCGCGCAGGTGAAGTGAGCCCAGTTGGCCCCTCTCCATCAGATGTGATTGTTTTTCACCATTTATTTATAGGCTGATGCATCTCTTTCTCAAAAAGTGATCAAAATCATTTGTGTTTTGAGGGGGGCCAGGGATGAAATGTGGGTTTTGTTGTCATAATTTTGGGAAAGCCAGTATAATTTCCCATAATTGTTTTTCACAACTAAACAATCTGAGCATCATGAAAAATACTGCAGATGTCTATGGGGTGGGGGTGGGGTTTCTTCCTTCTTTCTCCCTCTCTTCTGACTTCAGTTGCCCAGCTCAAATCCCACAAAACACAGGCAAAGTTCCTCTAGTAAAATCATCTTGTAGGAAGGAAATATAAAAGCACTTTGACTCGAAAACTGGAAGAAAAAAGGATCACTTAGTTTATGATACTTCTGCAAATAGACATGTGCTCCTGCTAAGTCAGGGGACTTTGGGGCAAAGCTGATGGCACCCCCTGCATTACATTCTGCACTGGGTCTCTAAGGCACCCTCGTGTGACAGTTCAGCCTAGTCTATTCTGCTGGATGGAGAAGCTCTCAGCTCTTGGCATTACCTGTTTAAATGCTCTCCGGAATAGCAGAAACCGCCTGTGTGCGCTGTCTCTGATGGCAAACATCTCATTTTCCTGCTGTATAACATGGAAAAAGAAATTGTGCCAAGTTTTAGGTAGGAACAGATACAAGCTCCCTCTCACTTTTCCTGGCATTGCCACAGGGGTTCCCTAAGCCTGAGAGGCCAGGGCTGAATCCTGCATCCCCAAGGTGCCCAATACCAAACTCCCACCTTGTGACAGGGGCTGCCTCCATTAATTCTCACAGCAGTTCCGCCAGGCAGGAGTTGATCATCCCCATTTTACAGATAACAAACTGAAGCCCAGGGAGGCGGAGGATTTTGCAGAGGGTCACCCAGTGAATTGGAAGGAGACCTAGACTGGAACCCAGAACTGCCAGTATCAGAGCCTGTGATACTCACACTGGGTTGCAGTTGTGACACGATGAGAATGAAGTTGTTGGCCAGAGTGGAGAATGATTTCAGAGTCCTGACTTCAGCTGTTCTATCGTGGTAGTTTTTGAAAACAGTTTTCAAGTAGAACTCCAGCAGGGAGTGGACAAGGTAACAGCTCTCAGCAGCCTGGGGAAGGTCCGGGTCACTGCTGAGCCAAGGTCTCTGCCCACCCTGGCCCCTAGAGGAATGACCCACATGCCACCCAAGACAAGATAAGCACAGCAGAGATAGGGATCTTCTAGGAGGTGATGATGAACCTTAGATCTGTAGGAGCCTTTCAGGGACCATGAAAAGCAGCATCTTTGTTTGACAGGAGGAACCAGGACCCAGGGAGAGAAATGACCTGCCCTAGGTCACATAGTAAATCAGTCACAGACTGCCGAGCTCCCAGGATTCCTGACTGCCTATCTTGTTACTATTATCTTTCTTCTCTGCCACATGGCTTCTTTAACAGCTATGGGGATGTGATGGACCCTGAAAAGCACTTGGACTTGGTAGTAGAGAGTTGGCTGATAACAGAAGGAATCAGGTGAAACTAATATCTTTGGACACAGCAGTTGCACTCCAGCCCTCTCAAGCTCCTGAAGCACCACATCTTTCAGGGCTCAGGGCTCAGTAGGTTTGTGCCCACTAGATGGGTGATAAGAAGATGATGACCCATCCATGACAACATAGTCAACTTGACCCTGGTGAAAGAAAGGATGAAACCTTTTGCTAGATATTATCTTTAGTCATGAGCTTGCTTTGCAAGCAGAAGGAAAAGATGTCTCCATGTTAGGGGTCAGCATAGAAACCAACTCTGCAAATATGTGCTGCTTCCCTCGACCCCTAAATCTATCCACTCTGGGAGATATCAAAGGCCATAGGGACCAAGGGAGGACCCAGGAAAATGGACCTAGAGAAAAGGATGAAGATGGAAGAGGGGACATGAACCTGAGTAGATGTCCATGGGCCTACACAAGTAAAAGAGAAATATGTAATTCTCTGGCTACTTGGAGAAAGATGTTTACAAGCCTCCACCTCGCCTGCTCCCAGTACCACCGCATACACATACTACAACCCCAGACACTGACTTCCCTGGCTCACGGCCTGGCCTTATCCTATGTAAGGCCAGCCCAGGGAAGAAGCGAAGGGCTTTCACCAACCTCCCCTAAGAAATCCTTGCACTCCCACCCATAGTGGAACAGAACCACAGAGGGTGGTTCCCCAAGGTGTGATTACCGAGACGTTCTGCAGGACTTCCTGATGCAGCAGCCGGACACTCGTCACATTATCTTGAGCCTGCTTTGCAAAGAGAAAGAAAAGATATTTCCAGGTTAGGGGTCCACGTAGAAACCAGCGCAGTAAATATGTGCTGCTTCCCTAGACCCCTAAATCTATCCAGTCTATGAGATCTCAAAGGCCAGAGGGACCAAAGGAGGACCCAGGAAAGACTGTGCTGAACAGGCTTATGGTGAAGGGAGACAAAGCTGCAGCCACAAAAATGACTAAGCTTGGCCCCCAAGAAGCAAATGGAGTCCCAGGATTTCTTCTTAATTCTTAGAGACTGAACACAGATTTGACAAGGAAGCTGTTTCATGCCTCCAGTCATTTGAGATGGGAGGAAATAGGCCTATCTGCTTTGAGGACTGCTATGGGCAGGATTTTGGCTCCATATTCCACATGGTGAGGAGGCGGGGTGTGAGGGAAGACAGCCCGTACCCCAGAGCTGCCTCTCACCCTCGGAGCTTTCTCCGCAGCCCAGCCATTCATTCTGGTTCTCAGAAGCCTGGATGAATCTAGCTCTCTTCATGGTTTCCCTTGAGCTCTGTTTATGTCACTGGAAACTGGTCACATTTTTTTCTGAGTCCCAGTTTCCTCATGTGTAAATGGGGCTTGTGGTGCCTTCTGGCCTCACAGAGTTATTATATGGGAAACTGATTAGCAAGCTGCGAAGGGCTCCAGAATTATAAAATGGCATCTTCCCTCTGCCCCCTGACCCACGGCCCCCCAGCACCCCCATGGCTGGGTCCAGAACAGCACTTGACTCACCATAGTGTCCTTCACAGCCCAGAAGGCTTCCCACAGTTTCTGGGGAACAACCCCCTTCACTTGGCAGGGCCCAAATTGGAATTTTTGGCCCTGGGCCCCTGGCACCTGGATCCAGAGAAGCAGGAGACTCAAGCAAGTGAGCGTAGCCATCCGCATTCGAGAGGCCATCGCCAGCAAAGCGGGGTAGGAAGGTCTGCTGAAAGAAAGGGAGGCAGCTCCTGAGGCAGGCCCTCTGACCCAGAGTGATGTGCCCTAGAAAAATGCTCTGAGGGTCTGCCCAGGCCAATCCCTGGGGCTTGTGAATGGGAAAATTGAGACTATTGAAAACCGGTGGCCAAGGGTGCACTGGGGTGAGACAGGGGTCTTTCTGCCCCTCCAACTTAAGGCTGCTGGCCTTGCTATCTCTCCGCCTGCTCTTCCCCACCTTGCCCATCCACACCCACATGCCCTGCACCTCCTCCTCCTCCATCACAGTTCTCTCTTTCCTCAAACCTGTGAGTCAGAATTTGACGGAGAAGAGTGGAGAAATGGGAGGTTCTAATGTGCCACATCTGGGGAATCCAAATCCAGGAAAACAAAGAGTTGAACTAAATGTGTGCTTGTACAAGTTCTGCCCTTAAGTGACCAGGCACACATAGGAAGACAAGTCTTTTTCTCCTCCCCAGGAGACGGCTGTCCCTCACTCCTCATCACAAGGGAGTGTGGGATTAATCCTGGTTCCAGGGAGGGGCACAGAGGGCAGGACAGGGTCACACACACACTCTGCCACCTCCGCTAACCACTCACTCTTAAGTTTAAGAATTCACCTTTTAAGTAACCAAATAAGAGAGAGGTATCAGATTTCCAGATGAATCATCTCTAAAGCCTTCCTCTGAAGTGCCAGTTGGGAAACACTGTGTGAAGAGCCTCCAAGCTGGGGAACCTAACCCCATTATGTATTTATTATAACTGATGCAGAGAATTTCTCTCCACCTGCCTTCTTTGCCCTTTGCCCTTTCCCTCCCTCTCTCCCTCCCTCCTTCCCTTCCTCCCTTCCTCCTTCCCTTCCTCCCTTCCTCCCTTCCTCCCTGCCTCCCTCTCTCCCTTCCTTCTTCCCTCCCTCCCTCTCTCCCTTCCTCCCTTCCTCCCTCACTCCCGCCCTTTCCCACTCTCTCCCTTTCTTTTGTACTTCTTTCCACAGCTATTTATTTAAGAACGTTTCTTACTCCAGGCACTGGTCTGACACCTGAAGGAACTGCCTCCCACCCTAGACTGGGAGGAAGAACAGAGAAGACCCGGTTCTGCCAGCACTTGGGCTGGGGAGGCGGCGACCCTGGGGTCACGTG